GGGCAAATGTGAAAAGCCATATGGGTTGAAAGTGTAATGTGGTGGTCGCTGTGGATAAAAGCTAAATGACCTGTAATGTAATGATATGTTTTTATGGATCAACATATTCAAGCCATCAATCAATGACCCCCCCTCAGTGCTCTCATTTCAGTCTCCACTGGATCTATTCAGCTCTGCGATCATTCGCTTTAAAGAAACGTCTGAATGTTCAGCTACACAATGTTCAGCCAGCCGCACATTTCTGCAGAATTCCATTCCTCCTTTTGGTCTCTCCATGCACTAAAGTTAAAGACATAAAATACAACACATACAGGCAAGTGCTTGTATAGAGGAATGATCCCCATGCAGGTCCACACACACACACACACACACACACACACACACACACACACACACACACACACACACACACAGTAACTGTATCAGGTTTGTCAGCTTTTTGTTCCCAGTAGTAAAGCAGCTCAACAGACAACACACACACACACACACACACACACACACACACACACACACACACACACACACACACACATACACAGTAAATGAAAAACTGCCTGCTGCCTCTTGTTCCCTCTGAGCAGATCCTCTTAAGTCGATTAACTCATAAACGTATGAATTAATTTAAAAAATGAATTGCGAGTTTTTCTTGCAGACTCAAGTGGAAAACATCCCACTTTCTGTTTGGGTCTGCAGGCTTCTGTAGGCCTCTGTAGACCTCTGTAGACCTCTGTAGACCTCTGTTCCCTTTCTTAATAAAGTATAGTTCAATGTAGTACAGGATGTTGCCTGCTCTGTACATCAGCTCTTATGGATTGAGCCTCAGTCGCTTTGCTTCATAGATTCATAAGTGCTGCAATCACATCAGGTCTTTTTCTTCACATATTATTCATTTCGTTGATCTTATGGAAGCTTTAGTTTTTTTTTCCAGACGATGAATCAAGTTCTCTGCCGTTGTTGCCTGTATGTCTTCAGCGTCGTGCAGGTGTGTGTCACGCCTCATTAACCGTACAGTCAGGTGACGCAGGCGCCGTCGCCAACGTGTTGCAACGCGAGCGCCGTCAAGCGCAACGTCAGCACCTGTAATCGCCCTTTAGGGGCAGTTCAACGATGCGTGTCCAATGTCTCCAATGAGCGAGCAGATGTCCCGTGAGCGTCCAGAGAGACAGGTGCTCTCTGGACGCGATCGGACCAGAGGTTGCCTCCACTAACATGAACACACACGGGCATCGCTCGTCCTGTGACCTTGGACTCTTTGACTGAGGGCGGACGTGGAGATCACTTCAACGAGGAGGAGAGAAGATCAGAGATGCGCCTGCAGGCAAAGATCACAGTCGCAGCTCTGATCTTTTTCCAATCTCTACCTTTTTTTTGGGGAGAAAACGCTCTCCCAACCCGAGATTTTGCCAAGACGAGAAGATTCAGCTGTTCTTCCTTCGCCCCCCCCCCCCCCCTTTCCCCTGCGCACCCAAACCCCCCGTTACTCCTCAGCTGCACCGTGATCCTATTTTATAGAAAGATTATAAGCTCCTATCATGAGCAACATCTGTCACCGGCCTGTAAATCCAGCTGTGAGCATGCATACGCTTGAATGTGTGTCAGTGGAGTTTCTCGTGTGTGTGTGTGTGCGTGTGTGTGTGTGTGTGCGTCTCAAGGCAACCGCTCTCTGTAAAAAGAAGCACAATGAACAAGAAATATGTGTCATGTCCTTGCTAACCCTCGAAGCAGAGGGAGAGAGAGGGAGAGAGAGGGAGAGATCTATTTCTGTCGCCACAAATGGAGGTGTTCAAGCAGCCCAACAGCAGAGATTTGCCTCTCCACACACACACACACACACACACGCACACACACACACACACGGTGAGCTAGAGAAGAGGCTAACCGTTCAGCGAGATAATAGACTGAGACAGAATAGAAAAGAGAAGGAGGAAGGGGAAGCGGAAAAAGGGAGAGGAAGAGCGAGAAGGGGGAGGGGAAGAGGAAGGCAGAATAATGTAGACCGAGTTCCTAAATATTGGCACACGCACACACGCACGCACACGGACGCACACAGTTGTTTACCTAGAGGCAGGCCTTTGTTGAGGAGATGAGAGCTTCCCATGGCGCGATCACACACACATGAACAGGAATCCACTCAGCATATGGCGGCTACCTCGCTTCCCGTAGTCCTTCTCCCAGCCCCTCAGTGACAAGCATACACATGTGCTCCCCCTCCTCCCTCCCTCTCCCCCTTCCTTCCCTCGCCGCTCTCTCTCTATCCGTCCCTCCCCTCCCTTTTTACCACAGCAGATCTCCCTCTTTATTCTCCCCCCTCGGTCTCTAAAGGGAAACGAGCATGCACACTGAACGCAAGCACTGCTGCATTAAGAGTGTAAAAGAGAAAGTGTGTGTGTGTGTGTGTGTGTGTGTGTGTGTGTGAGGGAGCAGGAATGGGGAGGAGCCAACGCTGGCCAAAAATTCATCTTTTGTTTCCTGAAAGACGACAGGGAGGAAAAACAGAGAAGAAAGAAGAGTTACACGATTACAGCCGTGAGGTAGACGTGTTCCATCGGACAGCAGGAGACACACGTGAAGCTGGTTTGTTACATCACAGGTTTACTACCAGAAGTAACGCGACTTCCATGTGGAACCCCCCAAAAAACACACAGCATTAAACGTGACACGGTACTAATATATGAACACAAAACGTGAGCAGAAACCCCCGTCACTAATGTTATCATATCATAAATGTAGAAAGACATCAGCCCTCAAAACTAATAGTCTAAATACATCAAAGTGTTGATACATTTTGAATACATCAAAGTATTGATACATTTTGAATGTTTAAGGATCTTTCATACTAACATTTCAGTACGTAAGTAAGTATTTGTCTTTGGTACGACTGCATAATTCACTTTGGGGGTCAAAGATTTCTTACTTTTCAGAAGATATTCTTTTTTCTTTTTTTTTTAACTTTGTAACTCCACGACACCTTTGACCTCTCTGAGCCGCCGTACTTTCGGTGATGTGCACCCGCTCACTTGATAACCGCAGTGACATAAGCAGACCCCCCCCCTCCCCTCCCTCCCCCCGGTTGGCAGGGCCTACACCAGTTTAACAACCGGGATGGTTACATCACATCATCACTATTGACAAATGTCACACGCAGCCAGCGGGCCGCTGGTTCAAATGCAAAAAGCGTCAGAGGATCCGATGTGACCTTTGTGGTCCGTGACCACGTCGGCCGTTTAACCATCACCGCGCGATTCGAAATAAGGGTAAATAATGTTGAGGAAAAACTGAGCAGATATCGCCCCCACTTCTCCTCCCCCCTGTTGGTTCTCCCCCTTTTCCCTCCCCCTCTGTCGACTACTTGTCGCCCCCCCGACTCCTTTCCATCGCTTCACCTGCCGCTCGTCTATAAATACTCCTCAGTCCTGCATCTCCTTTTCCATCCCTGCTCACCGTTCATCTCCCCCCCCCCCCTCACCCCTCACCCCCCCCCTACTCACTGCAGCGTGTCTAATGGATCAGCTCCCTCTCAGCACATCCACCAAGCGGGGGCCGGGGGAGCAGCAGCCCAAACTACCCCCCCCCCCCCCCCCCCGAACCTCTGGCCTTATGAAGGCTGACAGGCGGCTCGACGCCGAGCAGACACACACACACATGATTACAGAGACACAAGCCAGCAGACGCACAAAGACACAACACAGCACACGCAGATTCAATTCTACTCTTTTATTTGTATGGGCCAAAATCACAAATTTGTCTCAGAGGGCTTTACAGTGTGTACACACGACATCCTCTGTCCCACATGCACAATTTCAGTCCGTATGACGTGTGGATGCAATCACTCACACACACACACACACACACACACACACACACACACACACACAGCAGATTGGATTCATGGACGCTGCAGTGTGCATGCCACTACAGGAGAGCGGATACTGGAGGAACGACGTGATCTACTGGAGGAGACGGGCAGACTGACGGCTCTGATCCGCGTCCTGAAGACCAGAATGTGTTTAGGAGCGAAAACAAAAAGGGACAATTGGAGGACCAGGTTGTCCGATAACAACCAGGATGCAACAAATAAAGAAGCAGAAGAAAATAAGGAAGAACTCGACCAATCACTCGATTATAGCGAGTAAAAGAAGAACTGTTCATTTTCCTGAAGGTTTGATGTCGAGAATTTAGGATCTTAAGGTTAATGTCTTACAGCTAGAAAGGAGTCTCCTCCCTCAACAGAAATACTTACAAAATACCAGAGTCCCTGAGCTCATTTGAATAAAGAGTTTTTACTTCCTACTTAAAGTACACTTCAATAAATGTGTGATCAGATGTGCCATTTCTGTATGTATGGCTTTATTAAAAAATATAATTAAACACATGTTTTACATGGAGATTGTTTTTGGTTTCAGTCCAACATAGACGGATGGCTTCTTTCTAAATCCAAAGCATTCAGTCAACAACCGCTGAGTGAAATACACCATAAAAGATGAAGTCATTTGTCCTTCAATGTGCTAATTAATAATAAGAATCCTCCCATCGCAGTAACAAAGATCGGCTCTCACATTCTCACACACAGTCGTGCCCATTATTCCGCTTTAGTGACATCTCCTCGAAACCAGAACACATAGCAGAGCCCAGCTGTAAGCACTGCTATCACACACACTCACACACACACACACACACACACTCACACTCACACACACACACGCACACACACTCACACATGCTACACACATGCACACACAGGAAGCACTCGATATGGGGTCAAACATACTTCACAAACCTTGCTTCACCTTCCTCTCTGTGTCCACTGTTCCACTTTGTTCCTAAACTGGGAGGGGGCGGGGCATGCGGTAGATAGTGGGCCAATTGTAAGCCATTAGAGCGCGTGCCAGCCAATCAGCACGCAGCAGCTCTGGACCGCAGCCAATAGCAATATGTCCCCAGCGGCTGGTGGGGGGTGTCGTCTCTCACTAGGACAGAAAAAGACATGTGGCCACAATGTAGAATGATGGTAGTGAGTGTACTACTTGACTGTAACTTGTACTTCAAATATATAAATATTTGAACAATAAATGTCAGTTGCTATGTAATGAAAATGATGGTGGGCTAGAAAACCCACGTTGCTACAGGTGTATTTAACTACATCCCACATTGGAGTCCAAATGGACAAACGAGTCAAGGTTCTTTGAAAAGACACATCTCCTCGTCCCTATTACTGTGACACCTTTCCCACGTTTCTAATAAGTTCAGGGACTGTCGTGTATGTATATAGCGTGTATGTGTGTGTATATAAATAAATAAATACAGAGGCAAACAAAAACAACAGAAAATACAAATAGTATTTAAAATGAATTGTAATTAGCGTGCGGGTAGATTTGCGATGTCGTCTGTGTTGAGCAAAAAAAAAAATGGAAATTCAATTCCTCAGAATGGACCACGTGCTCCGTGGGCCACACCGCGGCAGCAGGGGGCGCTGCAGAGCGCCGAGGCCATTCTGAGCTCACCGAAAAAACACAAACAACCACAAGAACGCCAGAAAAACCAAGATGGCGGTGCAAGAGACAGCATCCCAACTGTCGATGGCTCTCAAAGTCCAAGAATATCCCACCCTGAAGGTAAACGACGGCCGAACCGCGTGTATGTTGATCTCCGGGTGAGTGCAGAGCGCCCGCAGCACCGGATGCATTCGACGTTACTCGGAAAACGGGGATTATCAGTTAATTTGACAGCGAGACCAGCGAGCTTGACAGGGAGGCTAACGTTAGCAGGGCTAGCTTAGCCACGTAGCAGCGTCCACTAACCGCTCGTGTTTGATACGCGGTAATAAAGATAAAGCGGTGTGATCCATACAAACAGCCGGTGGGTAGTTAGCTGGTTGAACGCTGACCTGGTAGTTACGTCTTATGGATGTCAAGTCGGTCGAAGGCCTCGGAGCTGTTCGCAAAGTGTGCGGTTTGATTAAAAAAAAAAAAAAAACCGCTCCGTCGACGTGTTTCTGTCGTGATGTGGCTTCGCTGAGCCGGTTTCAGCGGCTCGCATGGCGCTGACCGATCGGCGTCACAATTCGGTGGACGGGCTTCTCAAACGTCACCGGCGAAACTGTCCCGCGAGTTAGCGCAGTGTCGTCACGTCGCGCTTCAAAATGGCCAGCGAGTGGATTCCGTCCCACTGCGACACCGCCGCCCGCCCGCCGACGGGCCGCGAGGAGCCACGCGTTGACACGTTTGTTTCCCGGTGTGGTGATTAATTGCGTGCTGTTGCCGTGATGAATGTGGCGCGTGGATGGCAGCGTGGCGTCCATCGGTGGTGAAGAGGAAGAGGAGGAGGAGGAGAAGCGTGTCTGTCTGCCTGTCTGTCTGTCTCTGCCGCGATGCTGCAGTAAAGGTGATCGGCACCATTTTAAGTGACGTGTATAATTGGTATGAAATCATTCAGCGTTCATCATCAGTGTTGATTACATTTAGATGTTGAGCAGAGTAATGAAATCCCAGCGTTGCCAGACACACCGACATCTGCGTGGTCAAACACCACGTACTGCATGTTGGATGCTACGTGCATATCTATGCTTATATTTTCAGTATAGGTGAAATGTTACCTCGTTTAGGTGCATCGATGTAAAGGCTTTGCAACCAGTGCTGAAAGCTGGAAATGCAGGTGAAATGAAATAATGTTACAGACTGTGTATTAAAGGTGGGTCTTTCAGACATGCTAAAACCCCCCCAAACCACTGAATTATTTGATTTGTTCTGCCTCTCATAATTGAATATTGTGCACTGCAAATCATGAGCGACTACTCCTCACTGTGTATAATATCTGTCTGAAACATGGATTATCCACTTAATCTCATGTGTGGATTTTCTGTGTTTCTTCCTTCATACCCGGACTGGTATCAATACTGTAGTCAAATGCAGTTAATTCACAAGAGAGTTTAACAGAAGAGGTCGAGATCATCTCAATGGTTTCCAGGCGTTGTTTGGTCGCGTACACCTGGAGGTGCATGAATTCTGGTAATTGACGTGAAGTCGATCCCTTCTTCTTTTCCTTCTCTCACATTCCTGAGCAGAACGAGACTCTTGTTTTTCTCCAGCGGGACGCTGATCAATGTTTACTGGTCCTCACTGAGATGTCCTGGTGCTACAAGTTAATATCTGAATCCCAGGGAACGCCTGCATAGTTCTCCTCTCCGTTAGTCACCTGTGAAATGAACTTGGCTCCGACTTGAAAGAACTGAAGTCCTTGTCGTGCATCGAAGCGCTCCTCCTGTGTGCGTTTCAGTCTCCCAGTGAATGAATCAACGGTTCCATGAATCCAGTTCACAGGTATCTGCAAAGTCACCTCGTGTTGTGGCTGCAGGGGAAAGCCTTTGATCAGAGAAGCCTTTAGTTATTGTTGGCTTTCTGCCCTCGCTGTGATCACTGTGAGGTCTTTTCTTTTAGTAGATCTCAAGGATCAGTGATCATCTTCCTGCTGTTTTCACTTGAGTTCCTGCTGCCTAAATGTCATCAGAGACGCAGGTTTTCATGGAGCACGATGCGGATGGCGTCTGCCGCTGACATTTCTTGAATGAAAGGGTCTTTTCAAAAGCTTCAGGATTGATTTAGATTCATTATTCCTAGTTTGTGTTTTATTTTTTATTCCTGAACAGACATATTTTTGTGAACTGTTTCAATTCCTACAGCGTGACCCAAACACTGACAGAATACATCCTCTTGTAGAAGCTCCATAAAAGAACCATCCACCTTTTGCCAAATGTAAAGCGCAATCAGCTGAGCGTTTTTCCCTGTGCGGGGGCCGTGAACGTCTGGCGCTCGGCGGTAACGGCGTGGTGTTGTCGTTGCAGGTGCCGTACGAGACTCTGAACAAACGGTTCCGGGCGGCTCAGAAGAACATCGACAGGGAGACGAGTCACGTGACCATGGTCGTAGCCGAGCTGGAGAAGACGCTGAGCAGCTTCCCGGTGGTGGACTCCGTGGTGTCCCTGCTGGACGGCGTGGTGGAGAAACTCAGCGCCCTGAAGAGGAAGGTGGGCGATAGAGATGCACACATTTACACGGCTCCTCCCCGGCTATTTACTCTCAAGAAGCCTTTTAATGTATGGATTCAAATGTGCCATGAAATGGTTTACACATAAAAACATACACCATCCCTGTGAGTTTCTTCATTTCATTTTAGGCCGCAGACTGCCTGAGTACCACAATGACGCTTCTTTAGGACCCTCTGCACACCAAAGCGGAATCAATATGACAAAATAATTCTAATGTTGAATAAAATCATGTGTTTTAGATAACATTTGCATCAGTCTAAGAATGTACACAGTTTAGTTAATTGACACAATTGACCCATTTTATAAACGCCATGTTGCTTTCTTCAGTGAGCCGCTCTGAAACTAACCCGTGAATTACTGTGTGTGTGAAATGTGTAACTCAACACTCCTGTCTGCTTCCTCTGTTGATACTCCACTTGGTGCTCGTGTCCCTGACGCTTACTCGTCCACAAACACCTCCCGTCATTCAGACCAAAGTGTTGAACGTCCACCGTCCTCGCCGCTGTGGACAAAAGCGCATAGTTGTGGTTTTCCTTTATGTGGATTGTGTTGGTGGGCAGTGGAATGCAGCCTGGCCGCACGTCATCCATGAAACCACAAGACACGGGATCAAAACACTCCTGCCGCTGTTTTTGTCCTTTGTGGCAACATGTTGTTCAGTCGGTGCTTTGGTGCTGAAGGCCGGGCCACACTGGACACGACGCTGGTGTGTTGGCAGCATGTCGGGGCAGATCGGATCCATCTGGGGTAACAAACGTACCCTGTTTGTAGGTGGGTTGTAACAACAGAAACAACCCGGAGCACCAGTTCTGCGCCGAACTGGCCGCAACTTTATTTTTATCACCACACCCCCCAGTTGAACACCACCTCAACTTCCTCTCCTTCCATCTCCCCCTTCACAACAAAAGCCCCAATACCGGAGCACCTGTGCAACAACAGCTTAAACACGCCTTAAATCTTCGGCTGCTCTCCAGCCACGCCGCCTGCCAAGGGCCCTTTTTAGAATAACTTATTATAGTTCTACAATTTTTCCCGTTGGTTTGGTGCTTTCAGGGTCCGATCGATGGTGCGAGGTTCGTAGCACAATACGGCCATTATCAAAAGGAAGAATGTTTACAAGAAAACGGATCAGATTGAAGAACTTTTGTCGGAAGAAATGCGTAAATATGAGCACTTATATTGGATTCCCGTCATTGGCGGACTATGAGGACGTGCGGACGGCTTCCCGATTCACGGAGGGAGATCTCCACAAACGCCGGTTTGCCGGTCGAGAGGTGCACAAAGTTGTGGAAGAAAATACGGGACAAATGTGTCCTTGATGAAAAGCAGCAGTGTGGATGCACGGGGCAATAAAGTCTATGATAAATAAATAAACCCACCAACGACTTCCACACACAAAGACGTGACTCTCTCGGTCGTCTTCAACAAAACACGTTACTCCACCTGTTGTTCTGGAGGTGAATCGCTCTGCAACACACGCACGACTTTACAACCAGGAAGTGAAACCAGTGCGTCGACGCGACACAGACACCGAAGCAGAAACATGCGGCGGCCTTTAGAATAACTTATTTCCCCGTTAAGATGGTTCAGCTACTGTAGAGAAAAGGACGACCGCTTTGTTTCTCCGACGCGCCCTGAAAGCAGCTCCATATCTTACGCGCTTGAGCGCCGCTCAGCATCTCGCCGTCGTAGACCGAGCTTTGGCGTGTTTGTCAGAGCGCCTTGAGCGCCGTGTACAACCAGTATGGATCAACCGATTAACCAATTGATCCATACATAAGGGGCTCCGGATTATAAGGCGCAAGGGTCGTTTTTTGAGGAAATGAAAGGCTTTTAAGTGCGCCTTATAGTGCGGAAAATACGGTCGTCAAAACTGAGAGGCCTAGAAAAGAAATGGTAGAAAACGACACCATACAACTTATCTGCCAAGAATACTTACTGCTCGTCAAAGGTTTTTTTCTATTTCAACTTCCTGTCTGATTGTGTGTGTGTGTGTGTGTGTCCTACCTGCAGGCTGCAGAGTCCATACAGGCTGAAGACGAGAGCGCCAAGCTGTGTAAGCGTCGCATTGAGCACTTGAAGGAGCACAGCAGCGACCAGCCGGCCTCCGTCAACCTGTGGAAGAAGAAGCGCATGGACCGGATGATGGTGGAGCATCTGCTGCGCTGCGGCTATTACAACACAGCTGTCAAACTGGCCAGACAGAGCGGGATAGAGGTGATTGTGTGTCCAGAATCCATTTTATCTCAAAAAGTTTAGCCTTTTTTTATTTTAAGCGCATTGGGACAAAACTGAGACTCACTGACTGTTAAACACGTTCATTGTGAAGTTGTGAAGGACGGCACTTCTGATACCTGAATGTTTGCTTTTTGTTGTCGCTGTGATCAACTGTGAGTTTGCTTGCTCTCCTGATGCCCTCCTCCTCTAACAATACATCCACTCGTGTGTATTTTTAGGACCTGGTGAACATTGAGATGTTTCTCACAGCTAAGGAGGTGGAGGAGTCTCTGGAGAGGCAGGAGACAGCCACTTGCCTGGCCTGGTGCCATGACAACAAGTCCCGCCTGCGCAAGATGAAGGTAGCTCATTCACATGTCCCTTTTTGCCTCATGGCTTGAGATGGTTTACGTTAAGAAAGGAGAGGAGTTGGCAGCCCTTGAGTGGCTTGGACTTATTGCCGTTGTCTAACTGTTTCTTTGGCAGAGTTGTCTTGAGTTCAGTCTGAGAATCCAGGAGTTCATTGAGCTGATCAGACAAAACAAACGCATGGATGCAGTCAGGTAAGACGCACGATCTTCTACCTCACTTGCACTTAATTGCAACGTTTGGCTTCTTTGACCCGTTATCCAACAAACGATATGTAACGTATCCATAAAACCGCGTGTCTCTGTCTCAGACATGCACGCAAGCATTTCAGCCAAGCGGAGGGTGGACAGCTGGATGAGGTTCGGCAGGTGATGGGCATGCTGGCCTTCCCATCAGACACACACATCTCTCCATACAAGGTGATTTGGTCACATCCCTTCTACCAGTGTTAATTTCGTCGACGAAAACTATGATGAAAATTTTTCGTTAACAAACCTTTTTCCATGACTAAGACGAGAAGAAAACGATCTTAAAAAATAAAAACTATGACTAAATCTATTCTAACTTTCGTTAACGAGACGAGACGAACATGTTGGTGGTTGACGAAGTCACGATACTTTTTTCCCCCTAAATTCGCACGCAGCTGACAGACAACAGACAGACAAAGTACGGCGGTTGTTAACGCGTCATGATGCCGTCGTCCACGAACCCAGAACGCTCGCAGCGGCGCAGCGGTGGTTCTTGTGCACCGACTACGGACCGCGCGGCTATTTTACGCTTCGGCGAGTTTGAACGTGGCTTCGTTAGTTTAGCTCAGCTGTCTCGGTTTAGCTGCCTGTTAGCAGGCTGAAGCCGCGCTGCTTCACAGAAACATGAAGACCCGTTCAAAGACCGTCGGACCTTTCTGCTCTGTTCTCTGGCGACGCCAGGCAGCGTTTCCTCGCTGGATGAGACGCTCCGTCACAAACGCGTCTAACGTAATAAACTCATTGCAGTTTCTGAAGCCTCACGCATTTCAACTATAGTTCACGCGCCACATCGTGAAACGACGTTAAACCGTCTCGGCCACCGTACGTTCGTTACTAAGCAACATACACGTGACAGGTGGCCGTGTCAAAAGCGTTGCAAGTAAACAGACAAAGACGTGTTGCGTTTAGGTCCCTGGTCCTCATGAAGTTGTTACACCTTTGCCAATTTGTTAAATTGCCTTGCAAATAAATGCTTTGCTATTTGTTAAAATCCAAATCCTTTCATGTAATGATGTCTCACATGTCATTTATATCAGCTCACACAAACACTTCAACCATTTGTTCTTGGCTCGGCTCCTCCGTCGCATTTTACAACCCATTGTGGCCGCGAGTCAGAAAGTCTGCCGACCTGCTATAGACCTGTCCTATGAGGGACATCTATAGACCTGTCCTAGGAGGGACATCTATAGACCTGTCCTAGGAGGGACATCTATAGACCTGTCCTAGGAGGGACATCTAATGGACAACCAAGTACTGCAAGCTAGACTATTATGCAGCTGTAGACACAAGACAGTCGTCCCTGGGCCTGAGAAGGGAAGAAAAGGAGTTTAATATGGCTGTTAAATTGGGACTAAAACTAAGAAGGATTAAAATGACTAAATGTGACTAAAACTAATATGCATTTTTCGTCTTAAGACTAAGACTAAATAAAAAATACCCACGTGCAGGGCTCCAGACTAACCTTTTTTTTTACCAGGAGCACAGTGGCCCCTAACTTCAAATTTTAGAGGCGCAAGCAGAAAATTTAGGGGCGCACACTATAAATCGACTTTCTAAGTTGTCCCATCATTCTTACTGTATTACTGATAAATAATTTGACAATATACAATCTTATAAACGTGTGCAATAGTTTTAATAACATACACCAGTTATACAGCTTAAAATACAAAATGAATATTTATGCTCTACTGACAACAAGTTGCAGACATAACTTGTGCATTCACACTTCCTACAAACAATCCCCCCTTGGTGAGGGACAAGGTGTTTGTGTTTTAATTGTGTAGTGACAGTCTTAATGTCGTGTTCCCCGCATGTTGTGGGTATCGAGAGCAGAATGTGCAGCTCATTGAGTTGGTCTCCCTGAAATACCTCAGCCAGGTGAACTCGCGCAGCCACTCATCGCGAAAGCGGAATTTCTTGCCTTTTTCCGCCACGACCGTTTCCTCACAATCTGAGTCGGACTCATTCTCCGGATTTGTCTTCTCTGCATCATTCGGTTTAGGGAGAAAGTCCGAACTAATGGTCCGCTTCGCCATTGTTTACAGGAGACACCGCTATGTAAAATCTGTGGTTTCCCGCGATAACCCCCAAGACCCGCCTCTTTTCACACATTAGCCTATCATCCGTGGTCATCAACGAAAACGATGAATCTGACACATAACCGGTACCGGCATCAACTTTCATTCCTAATAATAATAATAATAACACGGCAGTGAAATCATTTCCAGTGTGGAACACCAGAGGGCCTCCTAACAGATGCACACCATTCCCACTTTTCAGCAGCGGTGATGTCATTCTTTAACTTCCTCGCTACAATATAAAGTTCTTTCTGGGTCATCAGGATCTTTTGGATCCGGCCCGCTGGAAGATGCTGATCCAGCAGTTCCGATACGACAACTACCGACTGCACCAGCTGGGGAACAACTCTGTGTTCACCATCACCCTTCAGGCGGGTCTGTCCGCCATCAAGACGCCGTATCCTACCGCACCCTGTTTACCGTAACGATGCGCCTGTATCTCCTCAGCCAGGGTAGTTTTTGTTGTAGAGAACTACGCTAGTGAGTGGATTATTCTTTCTACTGATGCTCCCTGCTGTGAGACCGACAATAACATCACACTGAGAAACGATTTCACTTATTTTCCTTAAGCTCCATGCCTCTTCCAGTCAGTGCTACAAGGAGGATGGTACCTCGAAGAACCCGGACTGCCCCGTGTGCAGTAAATCCCTCAACAAGTTGGCCCAACCGCTGCCCATGGCCCACTGCGCCAACTCCAGGCTAGTCTGCAAGATCTCAGGGGAGGTCATGAATGAAAACAACCCCCCTATGATGCTGCCTAACGGATACGTCTACGGCTATAATGTGAGTGCGCGCCTTTTCCGTGCAGAAGGACTTTAAGGAGAAAAGGTCATATAAATGTTTGTTATTCCCGTCTTCATTTCTCATCCGCTGCTTGTTGTGTCTTCCAGTCCCTTCTGTCCATCCGCCAAGATGACAAAGTGGTTTGTCCCAGAACCAAAGAAGTCTTCAACTTCTCTCAGGCTGAGAAGGTCTACATCATGTGATCGCTCAAGAAGAGCCGTCTGCGCACTTACATGATTGCATACGGCCCCATCGTTCTCAGAGAGCCCCCCCCCCCCTCACAGACACACCCGGAATCTCCCACAACCCCCCTCCCAATTCAGGATCAGTGCAAGTTTGCTACCCCCCCCCCCCCCCCCCCCATTTTACTGCACAGAAACTGGGATCCTCTCTACGACTCTGACTAAAGTGGAAGTTGATTAATCTGATCAATTCAAGCACCGGGACTATCGACCGTTTCGTTATCTGAACGGTCTGCGAGACCTCAGAAAAGGACTAATGAGGTGGAAAAACCGCTCGGTAGTTATTTGATTTTATTACAACAAATAAAAGCCTGTTGAGGTTCCGTTGACTTTTCACTAGTGGTGTTGCTTTGTTATTAAAAAAAGAACATGTGCAGAAGTGTGTTAACTCGCTCCTTTAACCAGATTAACACGTCAGATTTGGGCCTTTTTCAGGGCAACATGGCTGCCCTCCTGGTCACGTGGTAGCATTTCATTATGTGATGCATGCTGTTGACATCCTTTTGTCTTCTGGCCGTGTGGGGGGGGAAATGTTAAACGCCTCCTTTTGCATTTCACCCCCCCTTTGGTCGTGGAATGGAACTGGATTCAGGCTGCGGTTGGCTCCTTTTAAATGTAAATACTAGGTAGCAAACAAGAAATTCTGCTGTTTTAAATTCCGGAGTTTTGAGGACAAGTAACAACGCCGAAGACGCTGCTTCTACCAAGAGTCTCTCTGAACTCAACAAGTCTTTTCTTGCGTGTTGTAAACCGGACGTTCGGGTGAACTGCTTGTTCAGTAAAACCTCTTTGAGGACGCTGGTAATATTAATTGTGTTGTATTTACTTCCTTGATGAAATTAACGCAATATTCAAACCAGACAACCATCTCAGATGTGCTTTTTTATTTTCTTTATTTGAAACACATTGTCTTCCTTTTTTGTGTTTTATGGTTTGCCGTTTGCAGTTCTCCATTTTGTTTTCTTCAACCAAACACGAGTACATATTGTTGAATTTAGGATATGTATTCGGTTTAGAGATGAAGCCTGGCCTGCTTTTTATTCAAATATTTTTTAACTTAACTGATTTTCCAAGAATGAACAAGACAATAAAGGAAAAAACGGTGGTATTTTTCCGTCTTGTGCTCTGCGATTGTTGAAGTCTGTTCTTTGGGGTTCGTACTCACACTGGACGTAGGTCCACGCACACCTTCATTTAAATAGCAATGCATTAAGAGGCTGGCTGCACAATCCCACCTTCCCCCGGGAGGCTCAACGGACCTGAAAACATGACTCGTCCTCCTCATGACTTTGGAGATAAACAGATGTGGATTGTGACTGAACAGACGCACCATAGCGCTCCCATAACAGCAGCAGTTTATGGTAAACGTGATCAACCTGTGGTCTTTACTTTCTTCCATGTGTTTATTGACAAACCAAAGGTTGCCTCATTTGTGTCCATCAATGATTTGGAAGTGCACCTGTAGTGACACAGACTGTCCCGTGTATGTGTGTCTAGAATAGGTAAAGGGGTCGTTCTGTGAGCAAGCTGTCTCATAAAGATTTCCGTCAAGTTGGATTCCAGTGTATCTTTCTTTGTCTTGTCTGCTTTGCTGTGTGAGCTCCCAACATTTAAATGAGTACAAAGCAGGTAGGTGTGACGAGATTAACGACTCACTGCCGTTGTGTTGACGTGGAAATGAACCGGGTGTCTTTCACCTGAAACTGTCCGTAATCAGCTCTTGGTTCTGTGGACAGTTGTTGGTTAGCAGTGAAAAGCACGCTTTCAGCTACACTATAATGTTGATCTCATGAATACATCTGCAAGGTAATAATAAAAAAAAAATAGACAAATGTGACAGGATTTGGCACTACAACAGATTCTACAGGTTTTCTCTCAACAATCAACATTGTGTAAAACTAAACCTTTGTGCAAATAGGTGGAGAGAAAGCCGCCTCCAGTGAGTGTGCTATATTATTATTAAGACTGGCCGGCTTGAAGGAAACTACCGATTATCTCTGTTACTGAGCATTTATTCAATTGATTCTATACATGTTTTTAAAAACTGAATAAATCCCACTTCTCACATCTTAAAATAGTTGTATTTGACACCAGCAGTCGAAAACAAAGAAAATTCAAATTACTGTGGCATAAACCGGACAAATAAATAAATCCCCACAATTCAATACTGGTGAAAGATTAAAACTTGAATTAATAGCATCTTGCTCAACAACTTAATAATTGCATAAGTGCAGTGCTCAGCTTAACATTTTCAATTTCAAACGCAAGAGGTTTCATGCTGAGTTGGAATGAGGTTTCTGCCTTTTCACTCATATTTAACCTAGTTTACTAAAAGCCATATTCAATATATAAACACATGAACTCAATTAGGACCAAGAAAGGCTGTGTTATTAACGCGACCTTAGCGGATCAGAGCGTCATGTTACAAGTCAGAAATGTAACCTTCTGTTTTCTGTTATGAGTTTATGAACATCAGCACGACAGCCGTTGGCCGGTGGTTTTAATAACCTGAGACACAGAAACCGCCCTGCCTTAATTAATGCTAACAGTGATTTATTTTATTATTCAGAATGCCCCAAATCCGCGTCACATCCATCGTATCGGTGTTTTCATCCGTTTTAATAAGGCAGCTGTTGTCTTTTGTCCCGCGATGGACGGGGTAGCGGACCGGAAGAGGCGGGACCGAAGCCCGAGTAAGTGTGTCGTCACAACGCGTCTGGTATAAATAAAGCTGCGTCCTTCCCAGCCACCATTTTGAGATTAGCACATTTTACAACTAAAGCCAAACCCGACAGAGTTCAACGATGACGGATCAGCTTTGCAAACTTTTCGTCGGCGGTCTAAACGTCGACACCGACGACGATGGCCTCCGTAAGCACTTCGAGCAGTACGGTTCCCTCACCGACTGCGTTGTCGTCGTGAACAAGCAGTTGCAGCGGTCCCGCTGTTTCGGCTTCGTAACCTACTCCTCGCCGGAGGAGGCTGACGCAGCAATGGCGGCGAGGCCTCACACCGTCGACGGCAACGCGGTCGAGGTGAAGCGGGCCGTGGCGAGGGAAGACGCCAACAAGCCCGAGGCACTCGCCAAGGTAAAGAAGATCTTCGTCGGCGGCCTGAAGGACGACATCGAGGAGGAACATCTGACCGAATACTTTTCGCAGTACGGGGAGATCGAGAAGGCCGAAGTCATCTCCGAGAAGGAGACCGGAAAGAAGCGAGGGTTCGGCTTTGTTTACTTCACCGACCACGACGCGGCCGACAAAGCCGTCGTGGTGAAATTCCACACCATCAATGGACACAAGGTCGAGGTGAAGAAAGCCCTGACCAAGCAGGAGATGCAGGCGGCCGGCAGACCCGGCATGGTGCCGAGAGGCCGCGGCGGTAGGGGCATGAGGGGAAATCAAAATGGCTACGGCAGCAGGGAGTACGGTGGAGGCTACAACTACGGAAATGGCGGAGGCTACAATGGCGGCGGTGGTGGTGGCTACGGCGGCGGATACGGAGGCGGCGCGCCGTATGGCGGCGGCTATGCGGATCAGGGCAGTTACGGGGGCGGGAACGGCTACAACGAGTTCGGCAGCGGCTACGGCCAGCATTCTTCCGGCTACGGCCCCATGAAGGGGCCCCCCTTCGGCGGCCAGAGGAGCGCTGCTCCCTACAACCGAGGAGGTGGAGGCGGCGGCGGCGGATACCCACGAGGGGGCTACGGTGGCGGTGGCTACTAAACGGGTCGACGCGAATTACCAGCCCACCACCACCACCCCCCATCCATCCATCACCACCCCTCCCCCATCTGCCCTCCAGCCAGGATTTGGACGCCAAAATCTAATTCGGTAACGGGGCGTCTGCCGTGAAATCCAACAATGGCAGCGATACGGACACAGAGACCCCCCTAATCACCAGACCTCAGACCCCCAAACAGGTAGGAAGGTCACTTCCCAGAAAAAGCCTGATAATAACGAGCAGAAGTTTGCCGTTCAACTAGGACACATTTAACGGAAGAATAAAGCAGCGATCCCTTTTTTTATTGTAACGTTCCCACGCAGACGCGTGTAGTTGTCGTTTATAGTTGAATATTTTTTATTTGCGTTCACTTTGTTTTTGCAAATTTCGATGTAGGATTGTTTTCTTGATTATCCTAATATTTTAAGCAGTTACGGCTCGTTTTTTGGTTTTCTGGAGTTAGTGTGATTTCAATGTATGAGGATGAGATGTTTTGTGGAATTCAGAGCTTGTTTTACTGATAACATCAACTTGTATGATTTATTACCCTTGAGTCGGATTAGGCGGGAAGGTGATACTGCAGGACCCAGTCTCCTTGTCCTCCCCACCCTGTACTCAAACTCTCCTCACGCATAGTAATAGTTTCGGTATTGTTCTTTCTTACCTGTATCATGTATACTTTCATGTCTGGAGAACACAACCTACTGTTAAAAACACTTTGGTATGCTTATGTATGTTCATTTTAAATAAAACGTTATACCACTTAGCTTAGTTATTTTACTTATTTAACCAGGCTTCCTTAAGTTCATCCACAGGTTTTTAAAGTGCCATCATCTTGATCTTAGTTACATGGCCTCCCACAGTTTATTCCCTTCCACTCAGGTGGGTGAAATCATTGTAGTCTACCCACAGCCATTGCATGTAGGCTTTGTAGGGTTTGACCTGTTACTTATGTGGTTGCTAATATGCCTTTTTTTAAAATACTGTTCCTTTGAATACATATTTTTATGTGGACATGAGGGCTGATATTTATCTTTGATTATTCCTACTTCCTATTAGGTGTGTTCTTACTCGTATTCCAGTATGCTATCCCAGCCATAATAGCCGTAGCAGTTTGTTTGTAGGCTACATCAGGACCCTGTTGATTACCTGGGGTCGGTTGTGATAGGAGTCTGAAATATCTCTTTAGGATATCCACATCCAGCAAACTAGGTATGTAAATCAACCTGTCTTCACTCTGTGTTGGTCAACTATGTATGGAATATCTGAGATGGTGCACAAGTGTGCCGTTATATCATCTTAAACCTCGTAAATCTATAATCAAAGCTCAATGCGTCTAATATAGCTAATCTTAAATTACAAAACAAAACTGGGGGAGGGGTTACTTAATTCGGTCTTTTACTTTTAAGTGGGTGAAAGGGGACCCTAATTTTGTTCCACCATTTAATGTAGTAATGGAACGAGTCGATTGGTGTCTCTTCCAGAAAACATTGCTTTGTCCAGTTTCTCATTCTGTTTCTCTCCGGTCTCCTCCAGGTTGCTACGGTAACCTGGGCACGATGACATCACCCCCGAAAACGATGGGGTGTGTCTCCACGCCGACGGGGTACCAGAGAGCGGTTGTGCCTTCTCCCCCTCAGGTGAAGTCAGTTTTACGAAAGGAGTGTCCAATGTACCTTTTTAAATGCTTTTACAAGCACGTTTCATGGGTTTTATTCCAGAAGGTTTTATTGAGAGCGCCAACTTGTACTAAACACAATCATGGGACTGACATTTTGAATGATTTGATATGAAGGCTTTTTAAATGCCTGGTTGACGATTACGTTATTCTGTATTAAACCAAATATTTATGATTAAAAGTTCTTTTTCCTGTATTACTTCAAGAATACTCTTGGTGGGGTGTAATTTGCACTTCTGGGGACTTTGAACCCAAAGTGTATTTTCAGATCAAGGTATGACCTATTTAGAGTACTGCAATGTGAACAGATCCAATAGGACAAGAGCCCGGAGGCTTAACATGCGCCCGTGTTGTAGGCAATTTATGGAATCCAACCTTTTCAGGACTGTTGGCTTACAGGATGTTTGCTGCAGAGTGTAACTAGAGACGAGGAAATGGCTGCACAAGGAACAGACTCAGTTTTACTTTAATTACACGAATACAGGTTGGTAAGAAGTAATTTAGGAAATGGAAGCATGTTCCCACTTCAGGCCATTCTGGCAGACCAATAATCTGGTTTCCTGTCAGGAAAGTCCTCAAGTGAGTTTATTTTGTTAGAGGTATATTGCTAATTCAATTCCAGATCAAACTGCTCGACTATGCCCACATAACTGGACATGCATTCATGTCGACTGAGCTGAAGTAATCCAATGGAATCAAATAAACTTTTGCTTAATAAAAAGCTCTCACTGCAGAGACTGGAAGGAAACTGCCACTTATATTTAAATATTTCTTGGCCAGTTTAATTAATACACAACCTTGAAAGAAAACAAATTGATTACAGAAGTAATCCTACTTGGCGAGAGGTGCATTCCTTTACACGTCCTTCTGATGTACTGCGATGAGACCTCGTGACTCAGAACTTGATCTTTTATGTAACGTTATGAAAGTTATTCTTCACCTGGAACCCGCAGTTTGAATTGTGCTTTTGTTCTCTTACCTCTTTTTAGGATATTGGTGCGTGACGATGTCTGATCATCCCATAGGACAAGGAAACCTTATGTCGGCCGTGCTTTTATGACTCTACAATAAATTATATATTTTTATACACCAAGAGACTCGTTATGTTATTTACATGGAGGATAGTTTGGTTGCATGTGGCCCGATGCCCGTCACGAGGGGGGGGGGGGGGTCACAATGAGGTGGTGATCCGATGGTCACTGATAAATATACTCCTGTTCACACCCACACATTCTGATTGGCGTGTGGCTTCTGGAGTTTGGAGTACGATGATCATTTCAATCCTTAACACTGTTGGATACCAGCAGCCGCTTTGGCTTACCGGTGGTAAGACCATTACAAGATGGGTGTCCTTCATCCGTCTCCCATTAACTGCCTGAACGTCTTCATTTTTCCTCCCCGGATGCACCGGTGTTTACGACAGTTAAAAATGAGCCCTGTGCAGTTTTCATGTCGTGTTTAGGTCACAAATCGGTGTTTTGGGATGACGTCTAAACAAATGTTTACTGGCTTTTCAAGGTTACTTTTTTCAGCTGTTTACCAGCCCTCCTTTGTTGGCTCACCTGCAGGTCAGTGGAACGGTTTGAGTCAGTTGACGGGATCAAATGCAACTGACCCACTAAGACTCGAGTGCTTTTAGGTTTGTATAATTTGAAGCGGGAGTCACCTAAACTAAGGAGCACTCGGTTTGATTAAGAAACATGTCACGGTTGATTGTCCCGAAACCGATACCGCAGCTTTCCTTGGAAAGAAGTCTGGGTCGAACAAAAGACTCAAACGCCAGCCGCGACAGCGAGTACGGACTTAGGGCGAGGGCGTGTTGCAACGTGCTTCTTCAGTGGAGAAGCACTTTAGGCACATTTTCACTTACTGGAAAAAGACAAACGTGCGTTTACCTCGTTCCTGCACTGAGGCTGAATGCGTCAGCACTACATATGACAAGTGTGTGTGTATATAAAACACATTTGCGGTGTTTTTTACCCAGTGTGTTGAAGCTTAAGTTTTCCCTGACTTAATACTTTAAGAGGGAATTATGTTAAAGTTGAAGCCCACGGTTTCTTAGTTATTTTACGTTTGCTGTCTGATTTTTATGTTTTTTTTTTTTACGAATCAAGGGTTGGATAAAATGTATGCTGTACGGTAATGCCCCATGTTTTAGATTTGTGATTAATTTGGATGGACTTAGGACTCAAGTAATCAAAGCTGATATCGCAATGTCATTGCATTCCACAACTTAGGGACTGATCTGTTGTATTTATTAGCAATGAGGTTTGCCGAAAGCAAAAGCACGTTGGCAGCCACTGATAAGCACATGTTCAACACATACAGCTCAATGAGTTTATTTTAGAAGAGAATGTGTGAACCTGGTTCCTCAACTAGGTCACATGTTGGCTCAGACTACAATGGTATAGTTAATAGACCGGTGGGACCATTTTTGTCGTTTATAAATAGCTTTAATAGCTATAACATTGTTAACATTTGCACTGGAAATTGTCAGTCTTTGTACACACGCACACACACATATGTGATATGTTTGTGTATTAGCATTATGCATAATGCATATGGGCATAACACGCTTGGATACATTGCAATTCACATTTTTAAAGGCTAATCTTAATTTTTAAACGAGTATATTGTGGTTCTGTGGTAAAATGATTTATGAACATAGGGGCTTCACCACGTTGAAAGCAGGGTGTCTGTTTTGATTTAATTACGCATTACCATTGTGTTGTGGTTGTACAGTTGCGAAGATAAGAATACGGTAATTGATATGAAAATAGCTTTATTTGCTTTACTTTAGTGCCTAACAAACTACCGCTAAGGTTGAAATTCACGCTTCCCTTTCTCCTCAGCAATGAAGCCTGGGATTTTCGACAGCACTTGAAGGCAGCATCAACGCCGTTCTCTTGCGAGCCAATCAGAGCGGTGATTTTTTCAAGATGACCAATCAGCGACAGATACGTCTTAGGACGGCGTCATTTGTCATACGGCCCGCCCTGCCGCTGCTCATTGAAGAAGAAGACGGACGGCATCGGCGGCACACCATCCACTGAAGAGATTCGATCATGTCTACCAAACTCTGCAAGCTGTTTGTCGGCGGATTGAACGTGGAGACGACAGAAGATGGCGTGCGCAAGTATTTCGAACAGTTCGGCACACTCAACGACTGCGTTGTGGTCATGAACCAGCAGCTCGGCCGGTCCCGCTGTTTCGGCTTTATCACCTACTCGACTCCGCAGGAGGCCGACGCAGCAATGGCGGCTAACCCACATGTCGTCGAAGGCCACGACGTGGAATTGAAAAGGGCCATAGCGCGAGAAGACGCCAACAACCCGGACATCCTCGCAAACGTCAAGAAGATTTTCGTCGGCGGCGTGAAAGACCACATCGAGGCGGAGCACCTCACCGAGTACTTCTCCCAGTTCGGCGTGGTGGAGAAGGCCGAGATCATCTCCGACAAGCAGACCGGCAGGAAGCGGGGCTTCGGCTTTGTCTTCTTTGAGGACACCGACTCCGCCACCAAAGCGGTGCTCACCAAGTACCACACCATCAGCGGGAACAAGGTGGAGGTGAAGAAGGCGCTCACCAAGCAGGAGATCTCCACCGGCGGCCGCGGAAGAGGCCGAGGCCGCGGGATGCAGAGCTATGGCGGCGGTAGAGGCGGCGGCGGCTACGGAGGCGGCGGCGGCGGCGGCGGCTACGGCAGCAACTACGGAGGCGGCTACGGCTACGGCGGCGGCTACAACGGCGGCGGCGGCGGAGGGTACGGCGGCTACGGGGGATACGACGAGGGCGGATACGACCAGCAGATGGGCGGCGGGTACAGTAACGGTGACTTTGGGGATGGCTACGGACAGCAGCACTCCAGCTACGGTGCAGTGAAGGGGGGCAACTATTCCTACCGGAGCGGGGCTCCCTACAACAGAGGAGGCGGCGGCGGGGGCTACGTCCGGGGAGGCGGCGGCGGCGGGTTCAGCGGCGGCTATTAAGCGCGCCCCCCCCCCCACCCCGACCCCTGTTTTTGTGTTCATGGGGTACATTCTGATTTACAGCGAACTTGAATTTATACACACACACACACACACCGGGTGATGGGTCTTTGTTGCAGAGCCCATCACCCACTCAAAGAACGAAACTGTCCTGGACCCCTTCTTCCCCCAACACACACCACCTCCCCCCATCGGCCCAGCACACAATATGGACTTTACAACTAGTTGAATACTTTGTCTCGGCGGGGGGGGGGGGGCTGCTTTCATTTGTAAAATCGTAAAATATTTGTCACTGCTTCTCAATTGAGTTTGTTTGTCTTGCAAACCAGCCAGATGTGTTATTTTTGCATCATGAACTCAGGGTTTTAAGTGATGTTTGGCGGTGTCGGGGAGCACGTGACTCGATCGCTTGAGTTTCTCGATCCTAAACACTATCGTGATAAAGTACTTTTTTTTGGGGTTGGAGATTAATTGTTTTGTATCTGTAAATTTTCCACCCGTCCCATTACATCCTTTTTGTTTTAGATTAAAACCGTTTTCAAAATCCATGTTTTCAGTTCACCCTTTGTTTTGGTTCTGCTTTTATTAAAGTTTTTAATGTTTTGAAACTTAAATCTCGCAGTCTTGATTCACATCGTGTTGCTTACATTGAGCGTTTAATGCGTTTTTATCATGATTATTAATCTGTTATCGCTGCGGCCAGCAGGCGGCGCTACTCATCCGCGCACGCTGGTTTCATCGGCCATTTTATACCGACCCGGAGAAGAAGCCGTGTGCGCCACATCTCAACTCATGTTTGACTGAGATGTTCTCTTTAAACCTCATCAACACGCCGTCTGTGCGGAGGTCTCACTCTGACCCTATTTCAGTGTACTAAAGACTCTAAGCCGGTTTTAATTTGAGGTGAAATGTATAATGAATACAGGATGTTTTGAAGCAAATGTACAATAAAATCATTAAATGAAGCACCTTTGGAGCCATGATTCAAAAGCTTTTTTTTCTTGATCTGTAACTAAAATGTCCCAAGAAAACAAATTTAACAGTGCTTTACGACAGACTAACCCAGTTTTTCTTTTTTACAATAACTTTCCTGCTAATTTCAAACCCATGATGCCAATGATCGTGTTTTTAAAACTTAACATTTTTTCAATTGCTTGGATACAATACACAAAGATCAGTTCATTGAACTAAAATCACCCCTTCGATGTGCAATTCCTACCGTACGGTTGAAATGATCAAAATGAGAAGTATTTGCTGCATAATCCTTAGTGGGTAGTTTTATGGTTACGGACAAACAATATTTAGATCATGAAGTTTCAAAATAATGATCCATTTACACCAATTAGCGTGGCACATGAACCAGTTTGACTACATGATCTGATATATCTGATGGATATTGGATCATCGTTCTCTATCAGACACGGTTTCTACCATCCCGTGTACACTTTTCACCCCATGCTGCCGCCCTTGTGATTACGCGTCCAATTCTGCCATCACCAGGATGTGTGGCTCCCATATGATGCAGACCAGTGTCAGGCCTGGTTGAAGCACGCAGACCAGTGTCAGGCCTGGATGAAGCACGCAGACCAGTGTCAGGCCTGGTTGAAGCACGCAGACCAGTGTCAGGCCTGGATGAAGCACGCAGACCAGTGTCAGGCCTGGATGAAGCACGCAGACCAGTGTCAGGCCTGGTTGAAGCACGCAGACCAGTGTCAGGCCTGGATGAAGCACGCAGACCAGTGTCAGGCCTGGTTGAAGCACGCAGACCAGTGTCAGGCCTGGATGAAACGTTGCCCTCAGATTATTTCCGAGATGTTTGGCTAATGAAACATTGTGATGTGGATCAGAACCTGCGGCCGGATCCACGAGATGATAAAATGTAGATGTGTGGTAATCAAACCCTTTTCCCTCCCAGCTGAGGAACAGCAGCATTGTTTTCATGTTTTGCAGCTTCTCTATTTTTGCTTTGATTCAAATAAACCTACGTTGTGATTTTATTGTATTTCATAACTGTCCAATGTTGTTCAATGGTTTCACTGTGTGTACTATTCTTTCTACTACAGTAGTACTTTTACAGGGATGCATTTACATTTACTACAATAATGAACCTCTATTATCTATTTTTTACAGCAATATTGAATGATTGTACAAACAACCACCAGTGAAACTATGGTATCTGGTGTGTAGGTGATCTAAATGAATGTTTCATTGGTATTTCATGATAATTATGTTGTTTGAACCAATGAACCTGCAAGTGAAAGGTTTCTTTAAAGGCCGATTGCACGACGCAGAGCCGCTGTTACAAGTGAAGACTTGTAAGTGGTGAAAAATGACATCAAGGTTCTGAAAAAAGTATCAAAGTGATTGTAAAAGACTGTGAGACCAGTTTATGTTCCTGTTTCAGGAGCCCGATTAACCTCTGAGGACTTGACACAATAAAAATCAACTGACAGAAAATTAGAATTCAACTACATAGAGAATTAAATCATTTAAGTCATTGGTTCCTTGTTGATCACCACCTCTCTGTTTGCCAATAATTTGTGCCATCAAGGAACAAAGCGGGACAAATAAAGATGGAGAATTGACTATTGTGGTGTATATATATATATATATATGGGAAAATGTCTAGTCAGAAATGTTTCTTTAAATTAAAAAAACAATATGAATAATGTTGAGACACCAATATGTTGTGAGGATGTACAGGGTTAAACAGTGGCATCACATCTCCGGCTTTAGGAATTGAGTTTAGTATTTTTTCCAGATTTTCGACAGTTAAACACAAGTGTGGTTTTTAATTCATATTATTGTCTTTGCAGCCTTTATAACGTGGACCATTGCATACAGATATCAGATGTAAAGTGTTTCTTTTGGCCGCGGCGCTCTGGTGCGTGTTTTCTCGCCGCGGAGTGATCGACTTCTGCAACACGCGATCTCGGCGCGGCCGCAGCGCTCATGCCCGCTGTTGAGTCCGGCTGCAGCGGGAGGATGGACGGCGTGTCGCTGGGGTGAGTTGGCTCAACCGCGGGGATTATTCCGTAAAGCTGCTTCGACATCTGTCGGCTAACGTTTCGACCCCCCCCGGTGCTCGTTCGGCCGCAGCAGCAGCAGCTCCGGCTGCCGTTAGCCGGCTAGCAGCTAGCCTCGGTTAGCTAGCGGCGTCGGCTCTGCTGCCGATGCGGCTGAGTCGCCGAACAAAACCGCCGAGTGCTCACGCAGACGTCGGAGGCGCCGGGCCGTGGGGTTTGAACTGGTCGCGGACTGGTCGAGGACCGGTTCCCAGAAGGTGTCGATGTGGCTCAACGGAAGCTCTCCGTGTTAGCAGTAAAACCACCCGCGATGCTAACGGCTATCTCAAGACACTCAAAGCAAACCGCGTCCTCTTTCTGCTTTTACATTTAGACCTAAACACACATCCTCCCCCCCCCCCGGTGTGATTGAATGGTGATTATGCAGCTGGATTAGCGGTGAACATCTGTGACGCGGTGCTCGCCGCTTCCTCCCGCAGAGCGCCGATCACGCGCTGTCAGTTCTCTTAATCAACAACAACAACAGCAGGTTTATGAGACTTTATGCAGCAGGAAGTGTTTTTGTTTGCCACCTCTCGCTTGTGTCGCACGGGAAGCCTTAAAGATGGAGGCAGGTGTTATTCAGGACGTCTATGCTGTTAAAAGAGCGAAACCACACGCGCATCGATCCTAGTTTTCCAAACGCAGCAGCGAGCGACGTGGTTGCACTTTGACCCTCGATGAGGATCTCAGGTCTCCTCAGCTCAACCACAATGTCTTCTGACGGGGTAAACGTCTGTCTCACCTGGTCCACGTCCCCGATCCACACGTGTCTCTCTCTCGTGTCCCACCAGTGTGGCGGCCGGCCCGGCCTCGCCGCGTCCCACCTGCAGCACGGACTGCGAGGAGGACACCGTCAACGGAGGGCTGCACACCTTCAACCAGACGCACATGAGGAAGGCCTTCCAGCTGATGGACGACCTGCGCAGGTGTGTGACGCCGTGGATGCACACGGGCGACGACATGTAAACAACAACGACGACGACGAGCTGCTTCACCTGGTGTCTCTCAGAATGTCCCGCGTTGAATTCTGCTTTTAGACAGAAGCGTTTGACCATAATTGTGACGAGTGCGTCAGTGTCTTTTAGTAGAAACTTGCAAACAAACACCGTAATTGGCCATTTCCTGAAGAGTCTCCCTGTCCTACGCTCCTGTCTGCATCCTCAAACCCTCCGTTTGTCCTCGTGCTTCAGTAAGAAGATGCTGTGTGACGTCCTGCTGGTGGCCGGAAGCGTCCAAGTACCGGCGCACAGGGTGGTCCTGGCGGCCTGTAGCCCCTACTTCTGTGCCATGTTCACAGGTACACGCACAGGTACACACACACACACACACACCCACACGGCCCATCGTCATGTCTGATGTGCGTCTTTAACTGTGTGCTGTAGGTGATATGAGTGAGAGCAAAGCCCCCCAGGTGGAGATCAGAGAGGTGGACGGACAGACCCTGAGGAAGCTCGTTGACTACATCTACACGGCTGAGATAGAGGTCACCGAGGACAACGTCCAGGTGCGTGTGCGTGTGTGTGTGTGTGTGTGTGTGTGTGTGTGTGTGCGTGTGTGTGTGAAGCTGCGTGTCCAGTTTCACGCGTCAGAATCAGCCGAGGAGACGAGAGCGAGCCGAGCCGCTTCAAGGAGGAAGGAAGTGAAAGTGTTTTCCTGTTTTCACCAGATGTTGTTTCTTTTTCATTGGGCTTTTTACCCTCGCTCCAGCTGTTTTTCGTTGATGTCACACATCGGTAACAGGAAGCACACGTTTTCTTTGCAACGCTTCCTCGTTGTGCAGGAGGAGACTCGTCTGTTAGCTGCTGTCTCCCTTTTAGAGAAGAACTGTCTTTCGTCACTGGAAGCACACGACGACCTGTGTGTTCGGAGACTCCGTGTGCTCCGGATCTCTGATTTTGTTTTACTGTTCAGGCTTTTTATGACCCAACGAACCAGAAGGTTCATTCACCCAAAAGTAGTTTTCCCTTTTTTTTAAGGATTCCAAACGCATCAAGGAGGAAAAAGATTCCTCGCACGCTTTTGCTTTCTGTTAAACTTGCGGCCGAGGAGCCGGCGGTCGGCGGGCGGCGCGTTGCCCTCAGGCCGGTCGGGGCGTTGAAATCAGCGCAGCAGGAAGCTTCCTCTGATTATCAGCACAGGAAGTGTGCGTGCAGAGAGGCAGGAAATCCTCCCGCTGTCACCGACTGGCTCCCTGTGTGACGCGAGCGCCGTGGCTCTCACCGCGGCTTTTCTTTAGCTGCTACGTCCTTCATAGAGATTGTAGGCGGACTGATTGGTAACTGATGAATAATCGGGCCGACCGAGGAGTCAATTCATCACCACAATCATTCCGGGGGTTAATTGTGCGTTTGATTCTCAACTCCTGCTGCATTGAGGTACTTTCCTGTGTCAGGTTCTGCTGCCTGCCGCCAGCCTCCTGCAGCTGACGGACGTGCGTCAGGTTTGTTGTGAGTTCCTCCAGTCGCAGCTTCACCCCACCAACTGTCTGGGCATCCGAGCCTTCGCTGACCTGCACACGTGCACGCAGCTGCTCGACCAGTCCCACGCGTACGCCGGTGAGCCTCCAGATGTTCACTGCCTCCCACCCGATGCAGCCGCTTCTCCTTGATTCCGCTAATCAAGTTAGTTTTAGAAAACGCCAGCGCGGCGCCGTAGTCGTTGGTCACGGAGCTCGTGGAGGCAGACGTTTACTTTTCCCTCGTCTCTCAGAGCAGCACTTCTTCGACGTGGTGCAGGGAGAAGAGTTCCTGGGCCTTTCTCTGCAGCAGGTGTGCAGCCTCATCTCCAGCGACAAGCTGACGGTCACCACGGAGGAGAAGGTCCCTCACGCACACACACACGCACACGCACGCACACACACACGATGTGACGATTATCTGCTTTCATTGATTCATGGATCCAAATGTTTGACGTTCTTTGCAGAAGTGTTCGGGTTTTGTTTCATTTATTTTCAGCCTGTAAAGAAAAGGACGTCGCTGTTATTCAATAACAACGTTACCAAAATACAGATATTTATCCCCGACGAGTAACGGCTGCTCGACGTCACACACACAGCGGTTATTTAGGTGAAACCTGCTGCATGGAACGTTTTCTATGTTGAAGGTGTGTGTTTGTGGCAGAAGTTCTCACGTTGTTGTAGAGCGACTTTGCTCTTCTGGGGAAGAACGCGTAGTCGGGTAACGGCCCACTTCCCTCCCCTCCCCCCCCGTCGGGGGGCCTCGTCCTTTTGTGTCCAGCTGGAGGGGCCCTCGGCCCCCCAAGGAAGTGATCAGGTGTGAATGAATGTGAACAAAGGCGCTTCCCCCCCCCGCCCGCCCTCCTGCTGTGAGCGGCTACGAATAATCAACCGTCTCACCTGAGAGACGTCCTGCTCACAGCGGGGGGGCGCGAAGCCGTCTGAAGCCCCCGTCTGTCCAAAGACACTCAAGCATCCAACAGAACAACATTTAAGTCGATGCTTTTTTAAATCTGGTTTATTGCCGGTAAACGTTCACGTGCTGGTGAACTGAAGAGAGAAACAAAACAAATGCTGGAGTAACAAAATGCAATACAAATATTTCAATATTTCAATCATCACATGAAAGTGCCTCCATGTAATCTGACCTCTGCCTTGTTTCAAATATTGTTCATAAGATGAGCAGAAATCAACATTAAACACTAAAGTTACAACTAAACCACATTGCAATGTGCAGGAATAAAAGTCTGACTCTACTTTAGACAAAGCGTGTGCACGTCTGCATGTTCCTGTCTTAACAAATCGTAGTAGTTCACTGAACATTTTTTACAAAGACGTCTTATTTTTTTATTTTTTTTTAAACGCTTCAGAAACAAGAGCTCTTAAAGTTGACCTCTGAGTACGAGCAAAGCTTTGGTCTCCTCCACATCTCGTCCCGCAGGTATTTGAAGCGATGATCTCGTGGATCAAGTACGACGAGCCGACCCGCCTGGAGCACATGCCCACCCTGATGGAGCACGTCCGGCTCCCTCTGCTGTCCAGGGACTACCTGGTCCAGGTCAGAGGTCATATCCATATTCATCAGTAGGAAGTACTGGAGTGAGCCGGCGGGAAGACGTCCCGCTGGTCTCCTTGTTTCTACGTCGGCTGAGTGGAACGTGAACGTCTCCCCGATGCTTTCAGAATGTGGAGGAAGAAGCTTTGATCAAGAACAACAACACCTGTAAAGATTTCCTGATAGAAGCAATGAAGTATCACCTGCTGCCCGCCGACCAGCGGCACCTCATCAAGACGGACCGGACCCGACCTCGAACGCCCATCAGCATCCCAAAGGTACCCGAGAACGCACGCACGCACGCACGCACACGTGGGACCGGAGCCCACGCCGCCCGTGTCCGAGTGACCGAGGGTTCCCCCGTGTGACCGCAGGTGATGGTCGTGGTGGGCGGCCAGGCTCCCAAGGCCATCCGCAGCGTGGAGGGTTACGACTTCCAGGAGGACCGCTGGTACCAAGTGGCCGACCTGCCCTCGAGGCGCTGCCGGGCCGGTCGGTACCATCGCCGGCTGGACTCAGTGGTGCAGTAAGAGGTCGGCTCCTCCGCGTCACCGTGTGGTTTCCCTCCGTGCGTGCAGGCGTGGTCTCCATGGCGGGGCGGGTGTACGCCGTCGGCGGCTTCAACAGCTCCCTGCGGGAGCGGACCGTGGACGTGTACGACGGAGCCAAGGACCAGTGGAGCGCCGTGGCGAGCATGCAGGAGAGGCGCAGCACTCTGGGGGCCGCCGTGTTGGGGGATTTACTGTACGCTGTGGGGGGCTTCAATGGCAGTATAGGTAGGTACACACACACACACACACACACACACGGGAAATTTATTTAGTGTCGTATCACATTGAGCTTCATCACCTCCACTGATTCCACAAATATCGCCGATGGAGTCTCTGACAAACGGATCCACTGGGTCTGTAAAATGTAAAATGTGCCTGAGGGGGCGCAGGCTCACTCGAGCCCGTCATCGATCATCTTGTCCTTCTTTGTCCTTCAGGTCTGTCCACAGTAGAAGCCCACAACCATAAAACCAACGAGTGGCTCTACGTCGCCTCCATGAACACCAGACGCAGCAGCGTGGGCGTAGGGGTGGTGCACGGTGAGCGAGGGAAGCACACGTAGCGTCGAAGGAAAGGCCAGAAGCCCCCTTCTGTAATGCGTGCGTGTGTGTGTGTGTGCGCGCAGGTAAGTTGTACGCAGTCGGAGGCTACGACGGAGCGTCCCGTCAGTGTCTCAGCACAGTGGAGGAGTACGACCCTGTGGCTGATCAGTGGAGCTACGTAGCAGACATGAGCACACGCCGCAGTGGAGCAGGTTCGCACACGCACACACACACACACACACACACACACAGTTTTTTGATCGAATTGTTCTGTAGTTTTGTGGTCATCTGTACACACAGTTGGCTGTACGGAGCAACAGCACCACCCGGTGGCTCGCGTAGGAACAACACAAAGATTAAAGTTCAGTACAAAGTCCTTGATGCTTTCGTGGTGCAGGTGTCGGTGTGCTGGGGGGCCGGCTGTATGCAGCCGGAGGACACGACGGCCCCCTGGTGAGGAAGAGCGTCGAGGTGTACGACTCGCAGACCAACACCTGGACACTGGTCTGTGACATGAACATGTGCCGACGCAACGCAGGTCAGACACACGCACACGCACACACACACACAACAGAAGACATCCCACAATACTCACTGTGCTGCGCCGCGTCCTCAAGGCGTGTGTGCCATCAACGGGCTGCTGTACGTGATCGGCGGCGACGACGGCTCCTGCAACCTCTCCTCGGTGGAGTTCTACGACCCGGCGTTGGACAAGTGGAGCCTCATTCCCACCAACATGAGCAACGGACGCAGCTACGCAGGTACGAGCGCCCAGCGCCGCCTTCCCCCGCCGCCGCAGAGGAACGCCCAGCCGCCCGCTCACTTCTCGTTTCCTCGCGCCCCCCGCAGGAGTTGCAGTGATTGACAAGCCGCTATGACCGGGGGAGGGCGGGGCGCCGTGACGTGACGTCTGGAGGCGGCCGGTCACGTGGCGCCCGAGAGGAACCGGCTCCAAACGGGGCGAGGATGCGGATCCTGACTCGGAGGACGCCGTTTCACTGGATGCAAAACAATGTCCGCGTGGCGGTGGGTTTACGAGTCCTTTTCAAATGAAAATGAGGTAACGAGCGGCTGTATCAGCCGCCACGCGGCGACGACGACGACGACGACGAGGTCATCGCGGCGTTCGCTTACTGAGGAACTGAATACTTTCAAACACCAGCTGGCTGCCTTCAGCGGGTTCCTGAGGAGGAGCGATGTCCCAACCTGCTGCGTACCCACCGACCATCCCACCAGACGGGCTCTGTAGTCCAGCTGTTGAGCCAAAATGCCGCAGCTGCCAGAGCGAGTTTGGACCTCGAGAGCCGCCGGACCATTTAAAGAATGTAGAACGTCTCTTTATGCAAATCCGCTGTGAGGTTTAATACCCTGGAGGTGGTTTTTAAAGCGGTCGGGGACCACTTGGCGTTGAGTTGACCCACTACTGATGCACTGACTGATGCGTGCCGGCAGGCTGCCTGTCTCACTGTCCTGCTGCCCGTCTCACTGTCTGTCCCCCCCCTGCTCCTACTCAAGGGAGGGAAAACGATCATTTCAACAAATTGTAACACAAATGTGCCATTCATAGCGCTCAGAACTCCTGGCGTGTTTTTATCTCCTCGAAGCAAACAGAAACTGAGCTGAAGCAGGTTCAAGATTCGTAACAAAGTGAGGTTCTCGTTTCATTTCTCTGCCTTTTTGTTTCTTTAGCTCCGCCGGGTGGATTTGTTATTGGGGGACTGAGATTCATACGAGCTGCTCTATGAAGGAAGCTTTCAGCCTGAATATATTTCACTTCTGCCTACGATCTTCCACAAATCATGGATGCAACACGTAAAGACCGTGCTGTTCATGTGTGTTTAACAGTCTCCTGCATTTTCACTAATGAATAAAATCAGATCCTTTAAGTTCTATCCTGTGTGAAGTCAGGACACTTTACAGTCTGACATTTAACAATAATTAATACTTTTTGGTCATTTTTGACAGCCACTAAAATGCATAAATGATTCACTGAGCAATTTTAATGGTATAAATGTATTTTATTTGAACCCTCGTATCAATAGTCTGAACCCGTCGGGCAACAAGCAGCGTATAAATAACCTTTTAGCGCTGTTGTTTTTTCCCCTCAAGGCCCATTTAACGTCACCATGACGCGTTCTAGTGAACGGGGTTAATGTTGTATATTTTAATGTATACTGCGGATGTAGTAAACTTGACAGCTGATAATGTAATAGATCTGATCTGAACTTCCTTACGTTCATGTCGGTTTGTGCACGGCACCTTTTTGCCAAACTTGAGAAACAAAAACATGAAGCACGTTTCCGCTGCAAGAAATCCTTTAAAGTGACAAAAGTAAACGAGGTGGAAATGTATGTATTCAATATTAAATTTGATAATTTCATCATGTTTGCCAATGTTTTATAAGCGTTACTGTATTTTGTGAGTTACGTTTACTTGTTTAGTAAATCTTTAATCTGACGTTTGTCACATGACCTGGATTATAGCTGCAACTAGTTATTCTTAAAGTTCTAGCATTCCAAGCAAAGTAAATGCATAGTACACTAAAGTCCTAAAATAGTCTTATTATTGCAGCTGGTTGTTTTCTTCTCCCGGAGAGGTGTAATGATGGCACACAGACAGCTGTTGATGTGCATGCAGATGTTTCAGTGATTTTCTCATTTTCATGGAAACAAAGCTGCACAATAAATGAGAATTAAAACCGAATCAGGTGCAAACTGACTTTACGATTTGACAAAACATACATTAAACATGCCACTTTGTATGTAGCATGTTTAATGTGAGACGTGTCCCTGTGTAAGCACAATGTTCATTACACCACGTCATGCAACCTGAAGGTATCATTTAATACGTTTTTGATTTAAGACTCAAGAGAACTGATGGCAAGCTTGTAAATTTTATTTTTTCGGGTATAATAGTTTGTTACTGATTGTATTTTCCCAGCCTTTTTGTTAGTGAACTAACAGAAAAAAAGCATTCAAAGTAAGAAAACATTTATAGATACATACACGCATACAGTATATTGATGTGATTAAACAGTATTAACAGTAAAGACCTGCAGGAATCATCTCTGCTCAGGAATTCACAGCAAGTCTTATCAAAGATGTCAAGTATCAGTTCTAACTGTCCTCCATGAGTCACGTGACTGACTCCTTAAATCTCCGCTTAAGGACAAAGTGACATTGGAGGCTAAAATACATCTCAAATAGAAGATCGTTTGCATCTCTGACAGAAGCGCGTGCTGTGAATTCCAGATGTGTGAAAGTAGCATGCATGTCTGATGGCTGCGTGAGACGGAACATTGTGTACACACAAAGACACACAACGGTTTACGACGTGAATTCACCACTCGGTTGCAGGCACAATGTAAATAAAGTTGTTTTGAAGAAACTGAGGCGGCAAACAAATCGGCCGCTCACCTTTTTAGACAAAAAAAAAAAAGCTAAAACGTCAACGAAACGCATTTCAGCGATGGATGATGGACCGTTTGACGATAAATACTAAAACGTTTTCAGACACGACACATCTGGACACATCTGGCTGGCTTTTCAATCCCTATTCACCTAAAAATCGTATTCTTTTGGTTTTTCAGCAGCGCCAACATGAACATTTAGCAGACGACACGTGCGTTAAGCTCACAAACCAACAATAGTGTTGTACCTCAATTATTCACACAGTCAAACCCTGCACTTTACCCACAAACCAACACTGTAAAACCTCCACGCAAAACTTTATTATTGCTGCTTCTTCATGGCACAAATCATGAGCAATACATCGTGTTGTTGGGTTCTTTTGGCCACGCAGGCGCCGTGCAGGCGGCTTCACGTCGGGTGAGCCAGTGACTTACGACTACAGCTGCGTTCTTTGAGTAGATACAAAAGGGTTATGATCACACAAAGTAATGCTTATGATAGTTATAGTGATATTTATCATTAAAAAAACACATTCTCGGGGCATCACAAACATTATCAACCAAAGGGGATCAAACATAATGTTTGAAATAATTTAAACATTTCTGACATTCATTCCTTCGGGTGTTTTTTTTATGTACACTATATATTTATATTTGTATAGAAGTAGTGCTTGATTTTTAGAAATAACAGATGAAAACAACACAAAGGGCTGCATTCTGTGAACGCTGTGCAAATAACATCTTTTTACATCGACCCCCCCACTTACCCTCCTCAAGCGTCCCCGACACTAAAAGATCCAAAGACTCAACCGTTGATTTCAAATCTTCACACCCGCTTGGACCGAGGCAAGAACAGCGCTGCTTTGTCTTACTGGCTTTGAACGTCTCACGAGCCAAAGGGGTTCTGGGTAGAAACTCCACCCGCTGAAGCTTCTCACCTCCAAAGGTCTCCGTTTCAAATCCCCCCCCCGACACAAACAACAAGAGGTCCAACTCCTCACGCGCCCTCATTTCACCTGCCAGCGGTGAATCGGCCACTTCCACCAACGTGCCTTCAGCGCACCAGATACTGGCTCCCCTCCACAGCTTTTATTACCCAGAATCCCTCAGGACCTGCCCAACCCCCCCCCAGCAAGCTCAACACGGCACGAGAATCAAGGGGAAAAACAAGTCCAGATCTTCATCGATCATTTCTACACCCTAAAATCTCCTATTCCGAGTACGACTGTTTCCTATGAGCATCTTCAGTCAAATGGTGCCTTTAAGTGCCATCCGACATCAGACGTTTGAGCGGGAAACGACCTGAGAGGCTCATGGGAAACTAAGTTCAAACGCTGTGTTCATCTTATTCGACAAATATTGTCAAAAAGAAAAAGCATTCGCACAACATTAGAAACAAAAAGGACTCAAACAAACAGCTGCACGCTCACACGGGGATGAATGACGTCACGGCAGTGTCCCACAAACACGTATGTATACACGTCTTCTCTTTGAACGAAGGTTAAGATGAGTCCGGAGGAGCGAAGCGTCCACGATGTTTCACAGAACAGAATCGATCACATGGCTCCACGGAGACACGAGGCGGAGGAGGGACTCCTCGCGCAATAAGACGTCCCAAATAAAGTGTCTGAAGTGAAGAGCGTCCTCGAGCCGTCCCCACAGGAAGGAAAGGAAACATGAAAAAGGTCCCGAAAGGAAAAAGTCTGAATGTTGTTTCTGTGACACGAGGAGACGAGTCAAAGTCTTTAGTGATGGAGACAAACACAGAGAAGATTCCTGTGTCTCCAAACTGCAGCGGAGGACCAGATGTGGCTGACGGAGGGATTTGAGGGTGGAGCTGCATTCATGTCATGGGGAAAAGTTATTCAAGTCAGAGCTTCCAACAAACTGGAATGAGAGTCCTGAAATGAATAAATGTAGTTCCACATAAATTATCATAAATCTATAAAATCAATGAACCGATCAGGTGATAAAATTGCTTAAAATGTGCAAAGATCTGCTAATTCTTCAATGCACGAAGTTCACTAACGGGGCGTCTCAGGACGAACGTCCCACCAGCAAAGTGTCACAAACTAAAAACGTCCTTTTAGCAAATTCCTCTTTACTTTTTACTTTGTTAAGATTCGTTAGACCGATGAAGCTCTTGAAAGCACACACGGTGGTTTTTCTGCCAGGAGACAACAGTCGTCGTGTTTAACTGGACGCATGTTTGCTCTGGTCAGAACTAAACTAGCCTCCTTAATCCTGATCCTGATCCTGACAGCAGTCTGCACGGTGTCACCAACTCCTGACCGAAGTACTTCTAAAAACTTTAAAACAGAGGTTCAACCCGTCAGAAGGTGCGTGGAAACGCTCCCGTGCACACGGCGCTGTGGCTCCTTTCTCCAGGACATAAATGCAGCGGACCAGGTGGAGGTCATGAGGCGTGGGTCTCCGCTTCCTGGCAAGTCATGTGATGGGTTTGTTTCACCCGGTCGTGGACGTCCTGGACGTGTGCGGTGACAGCTGGTTACGGGGGGGGGGGGGCGGGTCTAGATGGATTTGGAGGAATCCTGTTTGCTGATGAGCACCTCCAGCAGGCGGAGTTTGGCCTTGATCCTCTTGTACTCCCTGTACTCCTCCAGCATCGGCACCCGGTCCTCCTTCTGCACATACCTACCGGGGGGAGACAGAAGACGTTCTCTAAATGATTCACAGCTCGTTTAATCGGATTGTTGCTTTCATATCTGGAAAAACTCTACGCTACTGTTCTGACTGAGGCGTCAAAATACCTCCTCAGTCGTCTCTGAGGATGAAGATCAGCTGTGGACAGACAGACGTTCAGCAGCCTGACAGTCTGGATAGTGTTCATGTGCATCTTCTGCCTACCTTCCATTATGCTGATAGAAATCCTCCTCAAACTCTCGGATGGTCCTCCTCAGCTTCTTCTTCTCTGCTCTGGCCTTCCACAGCTGTTCCAGCAGCTCTGGCCTGGAGGATGAAGGGACGCGTGAGAACTTTAAACCTGCAGTTGATACCCTGAGAAGCCTTGAAATAACATTTACTGCCTTGTTTCTACACGGACGGAGGCCCAAAGAACTGAAACGTCTTAGTTCAGCAGCATCCATTTGGAGTTGGATGAAGCCCTGAGAGAAAAGTCGGACAGCAGGTGAGCTGTGAGGGGTCAGGTGATCATGTCCAGGTAAGAGACCTGGATCTACAAACCTGAGCTGATGAAGGAGAATAGAGGAGGTGTGTGATACTCCTACGACACTACGGCGTCTTTGTGGCTGACTACATTTGAATGAATCTGTGAGGCGGCATGTTTAGTGTGGTAAGTGTTCTCACATGGACGAGGCGTTGGAGCTGGACAGCCGCAGGTCGAGCGCCAGCTTGCCCGACCCCTCCTCCACCGTGGCTCTCATTGGACAGTCGCTCTGCCTGTCCGGCTGCTTCTGGCTCCTCCCCGAGCCCTCGGACGAGGTCACCAGGTCGACGGCCATGATGACCTCGGAGCTCTGCATCTCCCCGCCGCTGCTGCTCTCTCCTTCCTCCTCCTCGTCCTCCTCTTCTTCCTCCTCCTCCCGCTCCTCCACCCTCTTGTTTTCTTCTTTTCCTTCTCCTTCTTTCCGCTCCTCCTCGCCCTCCTCCTCCTCCTCCTCTTCCTCTTTGATCTCCTCCCAGAAGTGAGCGGTTTCGCCCTCGATGATTGGCTGCAGGGTCTGACTCCTCCTCTTACTGGAGGGCGACACCTGGGGGAGAAGCAGTGGAGCATGAAGGACCTTAACAAGTGAGAAGAAGCAGCTAACACGGTGTAGTAGGCGCAGTGCTGCGTCGCCTTACGGTGACCGGTGTGATGCTGACTCTGGTGAGCATCTGTTTGACTAGTCGGTAGCGATCGTAGAGAGGCTTCACCACCAGCCGCTCCTCTCTGGTCCCCTGGGAGAGAAGAACCGCTTAGGACCGGTTTAAATGTGCGTTTCGGCGCAGCTTCCTTTCAGGATGTCGGCGAACTCACCGGTCGACCATGCAGGCCCTCGTAGTGCAGCAGGTTCTTCTGAAGGACCGTCTTCTCACTGGACAACTGCTCCTTGGTCATCTTCTGCAGAGACAGACGCATCATGTGGTGGAGGCAGAATGTGATTCTGTTTATCAGACCTCCATACAAACAATCCCGTGTCATGTCCACTGATCATTACTGCAAAGAACCTTGACCTTGATGTCATCGGGCCAGCCGTCCTCCTGCCGCTTCCCTTTGACCCGGTGCTGGATCAGCTCCAGCGTCTCCTCCCTGGTGGGACCCGGACCCTTCGCATCACCGCTGCGTCGGGAGCGCCTTGGTCCAGCGTGGAGCCGAAGCTCTTGGGTAAGGTGTTGCTCCGAGGACGAGTCTGAGGCCCGAGCTCGCTCTCTGCACGGTGTTTAGCATCTGGGGAGGGAGGAATACAGGGGTGAGGCAGGAGGAGACCAACGGGGAGGAGGGAGAGAGGGAGGACACGGAGGAAGGAACCAGGACGAGAAAAGGGGAGAAAATCACAAATCTTCAGACGGCACATGAAGCGTTTGTCACAGAATGACGTCTGACAAACACAATGAACAACACACAGACCTCAAACGCAACCCAAACACAACCCACTCGCAACCCAAACGCAACCCAAACACAACCCACTCTCAACCCACTCGCAACCCAAACACAACCCACTCGCAACCCAAACACAACCCACTCGCAACCCAAACGCAACCCACTCGCAACCCAAACACAACCCACTCGCAACCCACTCGCAACCCAAACACAACCCACTCTCAACCCACTCGCAACCCACTCGCAACCCAAACGCAACCCACTCTCAACCCAAACACAACCCACTCGCAACCCAAACACAACCCACTCGCAACCCAAACGCAACCCACTCGCAACCCAAACGCAACCCACTCGCAACCCAAACGCAACCCCCACCTCGCAACCCAAACGCAACCCAAACGCAACCCACTCGCAACCCAAACGCAACCCACTCGCAACCCAAACGCAACCCACTCGCAACCCACTCGCAACCCAAACGCAACCCACTCGCAACCCAAACGCAACCCACTCGCAACCCACTCGCAACCCAAACGCAACCCACTCGCAACCCAAACGCAACCCACTCGCAACCCAAACGCAACCCACTCGCAACCCAAACGCAACCCACTCGCAACCCAAACGCAACCCACTCGCAACCCAAACGCAACCCACTCGCAACCCAAACACAACCCACTCGCAACCCAAACACAACCCACTCGCAACCCAAACGCAACCCACTCGCAACCCAAACGCAACCCACTCGCAACCCAAACGCAACCCAAACACAACCCAAACACAACCCACTCGCAACCCAAACACAACCCAAACACAACCCAAACACAACCCAAACACAACCCACTCTCAACCCAAACGCAACCCACTCGCAACCCAAACGCAACCCAAACGCAACCCAAACACAACCCAAACACAACCCACTCGCAACCCAAACACAACCCAAACGCAACCCAAACACAACCCACTCGCAACCCAAACGCAACCCACTCGCAACCCAAACGCAACCCAAACACAACCCAAACACAACCCAAACGCAACCCACTCGCAACCCAAACGCAACCCAAACGCAACCCACTCGCAACCCAAACGCAACCCACTCGCAACCCAAACGCAACCCACTCGCAACCCAAACGCAACCCACTCGCAACCCACTCGCAACCCAAACGCAACCCACTCGCAACCCAAACGCAACCCACTCGCAACCCAAACGCAACCCACTCGCAACCCAAACGCAACCCACTCGCAACCCACTCGCAACCCAAACGCAACCCACTCGCAACCCAAACGCAACCCACTCGCAACCCAAACGCAACCCACTCGCAACCCAAACGCAACCCACTCGCAACCCAAACGCAACCCAAACACAACCCAACACAACCCAAACACAACCCAAACACAACCCACTCGCAACCCAAACACAACCCACTCTCAACCCAAACGCAACCCACTCGCAACCCAAACGCAACCCACTCGCAACCCAAACGCAACCCAAACACAACCCACACGCAACCCACTCGCAACCCAAACACAACCCACTCGCAACCCAAACACAACCCACTCGCAACCCAAACGCAACCCACACGCAACCCAAACGCAACCCAAACGCAACCCAAACGCAACCCAAACACAACCCAAACACAACCCAAACACAACCCAAACCAAGACTTGAGAATAAAGACCTTTGAAAGGCTCAGAGAACCCGACTGTAGTTCAATGATCTGTTGAGGTTTGATTTAAGGATTAATAGCAGAAGATACGTATACCCGTGTACTGGAATATGACAATTCAACAAAAAGTAGGAAATAATAAAACTCGTCTCTCTTCCCCCCGTTACCAAACATTCTTGAGGGACACGCGGTTAAAATGTCTCGTGCCAACATGCGTCTCAACAGCAAATACACCAAAACCAAGAAGCAAGGCGCCCCCCCCCCCCAGTGTGACTGTCAGTGGTGTATGTCTACTTACTGAGGGGTTGGTACTTACTGAGGTGACCCGGTCTAAAGCTCAGGCCTGAGTAGGGGTGCAGCGGGGGGGTGAGTGTGTGATGGGGAGGTGAGCAGATAGAGGAGGGGGGAGGGAAGGAGGGAGCATGGTGGCGTCTGTATGAATGGAGCAAAGCCTGGTGCCTCAGCGTGCTTCTGGGTAAAAGGTGGTGCTGGGGTCCTGGTTGGCCGATCAGTCAATCAATCAATCAATCGGTTGGTTGGGCGATAGGAGGAGGGAGGGAGGAAAGTGGAGAGCGGGTGCTCCCGTTATTGTTGTTTTTCAATTTTGATTTGATTTGAAACAGAGAGAGAGAGAGAGAGAAATGTTTCGGCCACTTTGTGTGTCTTCGCAGAGCGAAGGTGGACGAGCGTCACAGGGCTCGTTCAGTTTGGTGAAACGGTGCACAAAACAACGATTTATATCCATCAGGTGCTTAAATATTTAGACTCTTCAAGGAACACCTCCTTTAGGACAAAAACAGTCGAATCCTGATTTTAACTGGAGCATCCTAGAGAGTTGTTTAAGTCTTATGCATCGTTTCACCCCACAGAGCTCCCTGCAGAGGTGATGAATGTGGGTTCACAAGGACGCACCAGCACACTGGAGGGTGGGAGCCACTTCAACCCCCCCGGCATGTGCGTGCATGTGTGTGTTAGACCAGCACGCATGCAGTGTTCTTACAAAGGTCAAAGGTTGGGAGTGGGAAGGGGTCAAGCTGTCCAGCATGGAACACAGACACTCCAATCCCGACACACACACACACACACAAATGCACGGACACGGGAAAAACAAGTCGCTGTCGTACCTTTAATCTGCCTGCGGATCTTTGTGAGGTCGGTCATCCATTTGAGGACTTTGGGGTTAGCGGCCTTGTCTCCATGAGAAGGCTGCAGAGAGAGGAGGAGGAGAGAGGGATTGAATGAAACAGTCTCCAAGATGATCTTGTAGAGGGAGTGAAAGACAGAGGAGGAGGACTGAGGACTGATGTGCTGGGAATAGACGGAGAGCCAGCGGTTCACAGCAGCAATAACACAAACTCCATCAACACGCCGGAGTTCACTTTTCTACTTGTACCTTATAGTTCCTTTCATTCTCAAATTGCTCTTCAAACTGCTTAATTTTCTTCTTCAGGTGCTGAAGTTTCTTGGTGAGTTGGTGGGTCACTGAATCTCCTCCTCTCATTGCCTCTTTGGAGCCGAAGGACGCTCGCCGCGGCCTGCAGGGACGGAGGATGAAGGTCAAACCCACAAACGGAAACCAGCGAGGGGGGAGGGAGCCGCGGCGCCGTACCTCTGTGCTTTGGTGGGAGAGGTGGCGTCCGGGTCTTGCTGCAGGAATCGCTGGGCGCCGTGCGCTCCGAAGTCGAGAAAGCGCCGCGCCGGCAGGTGAGCGTGGGAGCGGGAGGAAGAGGAGGAGGCTTCCTGCCCTCCCTCCCCCACGTCCTCCTCCTCCAGCAGCAGCAGGGGAGGGAGGGTGACCATGCGGCCGGCCAGCGGGGAGAGCTGAGCCTCTCCGCTCTCGCTCTCGTCCTGCCAGGACTTGAAAGCGGGGACGGGGTCTAGAGACGGGAGGACAGGGAGCAGAGAGAGGAGCGAATCAGAGCGCGGCATCAGACGTCGGGAAAAGGAGGGAGAGAGAAGACGGACGTTACAATCCGTGTATAGAACATATCGATAGAAAAGCTGCATGGGGCCATTAAAGCCCACGTTGTCCTCTGCGGGTCAGTCTCTGTCAGCGGGATGCTAACGAGAGGAGTCACGTGGGGGGGGGGGGGAGGAGAAAGGGGGAGGCGAGGGCGAATACGGGGGAGAAGCACAGTGTCTCCGATCCATCCGCCAGGGGACCCTGCTGCAAAGAGGTAGATGAAGAGGAATAAAGTCGCCCTGCTCAGACGCCGCGGGGCGTCAAACAGCGGGATGGATGTCTGTTGTGAAAAAGAGACGGCTGGAATGGTCGGACGACAAACATACACACACACACACACACACACACACACACACACACACACACACATACACACACATACACACACACACGCACACCAGCCATTTGTTCAGCGCGGGAAACAAAGGTCAATGGAAGAAGACGATCGTCTTTACAGCAATATTAAAGGCTCTTTGTAGAAAAGGGGCAAATATGTTGCCCGTCAATAAATAAACAAGTTTTCAATTCAGGATTCTTTGTCACATGTTCATTTTAAATGAATGAAATATTTAAATGAATAAATGATGATAAAATATTAAAAGAAGGCTCGAAACGGATCCTGTAAGAAATCCAGATCGAAGCGCCTTCGTAAAAGAAATCAAGGCGAGAGGATGGAAGGAAAGCTCGCTGGCTGGTGATGGGTAGACGCTCGACTACTCACCTTGGCCTTCTTTTTGCAGATGCATACATGAGAAGTCTATGGGAGGGACATGGGAGGGGGGTGATGCTGTTTGGATGGAAGGAGGACAAGAGGGAGGAAGAAGAGAAGAAGAAGGAAGACAGCAGAGACGAGGAGCAGTGAGGTCAATCATTCGTAACAACTCTCCAACCTTCCTTCAGTCCCTGAACTTTTACCAGAGTAATAACTCCACATTTAAAAGGCGACATCTCGAAAAGTACTCTTAAACAAAATTTGGTGAAATAGCAAAAATATTTGCGTATGACTTTTAATCTTCGACGTTAATACCAACTGCAGTGTCGCCTCCTGGGAACGAGCATCATCTTTTGAACAGAATCTTCTATGGATTCATAAAGGAAACAAAGCACATGAAGTCTGTTTCACTGTATCTCCCACCTTCCCATTGGCTGTCAGGGAAGAGTTGCAGATGAGGGTTGTGGCCGGATTTTGGTTGGCATGGCGACAGGTGGTTCCTGTTGGTCTTGCTGTTGTTGGCGTTCTGATCACAGCGGCATGAATTCGGATCCTGGAAAAGGGGCAAAAAAAGGGGAATTCACCAAAAAAAATTGAAAATGAAGAAAAAAGGAAAACAAACATTCAAGACGAAGGTACAAAAGAGGATAGAGAAGTCAACTAGAAGTGAACCAAGGGAGGACACGTACTGTAACGTAAACATTAACTCATATTTATCCTTGTAATTTAAATAAATCTAAAATATATCTTTGTGGTGTGGCGCTGCGACACTTACACAGCTGATGGTGTCAGCCTGAGTCTGCTCCATGTTGTCACAGGGTCGATTGTCCTGCCTGCGATCAGAGAAAGACAAATAACGATGACTGATTAGTGTTCATGTGAGAAACAATTTGCCAAGTCAAACCCTCGGACCTCAGCAGAACAATTTAAGAACGAGGAGGTCAGGACTCATAGGTCAGCGGAGGAGGAGTCAAAGCTTCAACCACCCAAGTCAATGCTGTGTTTATCTATTGTTCACCCTGCTTTAAATGGACATTCCGCCTGCTCACCTGGCGGTGTTGATGTTGTTCTCAGCATCTGGGGCGGCCTCGGCGTCCAGGTCCATTCCAGAGCTCTCCTCCAGGGCGTCGCCGGGGGCAAAGGGATCCTGCGGGAAAGCAACAGCGAGAATTTATATTGCATTTGAGGGTTTCCAATGATTGGAAATCACAGACTTAAGAGCAGAGAAACCGAGATGAAAAGGCGAGAAAAGGAAATATGAAATAAACAGGTGCATTTGGACAATATCATGTTTCCCTTTTACCACCAAAAGTAAATGTTCAAGTGAGCCCCGTTACACAGTGAAGTTAGTACCAATGATTATGCGACTAAACCCTGAAAGTGAAAACTAAATGTGAGCTGCTGCATGTAAAGCACATGTTGCACAGCTGTTATTATGTCGAGAGGGTTTTATGGTTTGACCCACAGGTGTTGCTGTCATTCTCTGATTCTCGGCTCATCTCTTTAAGACATCTCTAGATGTTTGTCGAAGGAGCTGACAGGTTTCTCTTTAGTCCCAGGAGACGTCTCACTCCGTCTCCCCCAGGCTCTGAATCACGCGTTTCACCGCTTGAACCCGAGCGGCACCTCTTCCAACCCGTCAGAACAGAACAAAGACGGCCGTGCTGATAAAATCAGACATTCAGGCTCGGGACGGACCGAGAGACGGGGACAGGAAGGAGGTCAGCTATGGGAAATATGCTGCCAGCCCACGCAGCAACTGGTCGGCTCTGTGTATTGTCTGTTTGTTGAGGACATTCCCACTGTGTGTGTTTGTTTGTGTGAGAGACTGGAGGATTCTGAGCCCTTTCTGTTTTTTTGGGGTCTTTTTAAAATCCATTTGTCTCTAACTTAAACTATCGACAGTGTGTGTCAGAGCGTGTGCACGTGTAGTATGAATTCGCCGGGTACTTGTGTGTGTTTCCGTGTCGCCAACAAACCCGTGTGTCCGTCTGGCTTTGTTGTACGAGCTGCTCGCTCGGTGTGAGCGGGGTCTCCCCTTCTGTGTGGCAGGGGCTGTCCTCGGGGTCAGTTTGTTGCGCCTCGTCTCCATGGCGACCTTGTTCTGCAGGCTCACTGGGACTCACCCTGCAGGACAAAGCAATAAAAGAGGCAGTAAAATAAGATGAACAGAGTAAAGTGCTGTGACATGTTGTCTTGTCTGAGGTGACTGACCACTGAACAGCTGCTTCCCCCCAACATGTTTGCTAATTAACATCACAGCTGTCAACATGTTTACTAGTAACTTGAGCCCTTCGTACATAATGTTCACTAGAGACGGTTCTTCAAAGCCATCGGAGGCGCTCGCCACCACTGAGGAATCTGGGCAACGCATGTTCCCACCAGCAGGGGCACGCGGGGTGAAAAGTACAACACAAGCCGGTTTGCCCAGTGTGAAAATGTTCTTAAACATGAGACAAGTGTATTTACGTCATGTGCGTGTGCTGTGCGTGTGCGCATGGGGGCATGTTGCTGCGTGCGTCTGGTCTCTCACCCCCGGCTGTCGTAGTTGGTGTCGATGGAGGTTTTCAGCTCCAAGAAGTGCTGCTCCACCGCGGCCCTGATGGTTCGCTGGATTATCCTGGAAAATACAAAGAAACACATTTAAGATTCATACGCATATTCACACGTTAGAATGTAATTAGTAGCATTCTCTTCATATTCCGAAGTGCTGCATCGTAGCCTCAGACTATCAGACCGGACATCAAACCCTTAAAGTGTCTCAGAGTTACGCAGCGAGTAAGAATGCGGCTCGTGTTCTGTCCACTGGGGCGAGTTCAGCTCGGCTGTAATGAGAGTAAACTGTGAAGCTTCCCAGTGATACGATCTGCACAACATCAAAGGTTTACTTGGGTTCACATAACTGCTCTGGGTAAGATCCTGTCCTCTGGCTTTTATTTGTTGATTCAGCAGCGGCCAATAAAAATGTCCCCTTCAGTCACATAAATGAAGTGTCTAATGTAAACTCGAGGACTGGATGCGTATCAGGGAGGTTGATTCACATCGGCTTAGTATTCATTTACTAATGAACACAAGTAGAGCCCTAATACCACGTTGTCTTCAACCTGAGATCTGAAATATCAAAAACGTGGCGAGAATTAAGTGCATAATAAAAATTTTTAAAAAACGACCGTCTGTATGGACATTTTTAATATTCTGCTGTATAAAAACAGCAATCAGTATTATAACAAAAACTATAAATTAAATTATCTAATTTCCTCTGACTGAAAACTGATTCTTTAACGGTCTTTACAGTTAAATAACTTTGTGATCAACTTAATATAACTGCATCTTTTGTTGAATTATTGAATCTCCTCTACATGACATTCGTTTATGTTTTATTGTCTCCAGATGTACTGAATACTGTGGGCTGTGCATCGTTTACCATTTAATTAAGACCTGTATTTTCAGACTACGGTTTAGCAGTAATGATGCACAGTTCAAATGTTGGAACCATGCGGAAGCTTCCTCACGCGATCCCACCGTCATCCGCCGCTTCCAATGAACAGAAAGACTTCTGCTAATCAATTAAGGGCTGGAGCTTCAAACGGCGGATGTGTTTATCTCCACGCAGCGAACGAGAGCATGACTCATCCTCTAAAGCAGAATAACGAATCCAACACGAGAGCCTGTTAATCACTGGAATGGTTCTTTTTCCATTCGGGGCTATTTAACAAATCCCTATTAAGGAGAAACTGAAGCCTGGTCCAGTTATGAAAGGATTAATAAGGCTCAGACCAGAAAGCAGGGAGGGGAGACGACACGACGGCCTATAAAAGGCAGCACAGCGGTCCAGCTCTGACCTGCTTGTTTCCGTCGGCGTGTGAAGCCCGGAGAGTTAAACTATTGGACACGTTTAGCACTGTGGTTTTCACGCTAACGCACAGCCCCGTGGTGAGCGGTTACTGTCACGCAGCGAAGAGGCCCGACGGTCACGTGCTGCTGTTCATGTCCTCGAGGCTCCAAAAAGCACACAGTCACACAAAATGCTTCAGTTCAGCTCCGTAACCAAAACACACGGCTTCCCTCTTCATCACTTCCTCCCAACTCTTCTCAGCCGCCTGCTGACTTCTTCTGTTGATGGTTATTTCCTCTCGAGCCGATGGCCCTTTGCTTCCCGTTAACGCTCTATTGTTTCTTAGTGTAGCTCGTGTAGGAGCCCGAAGTGTGCATATTGTTTAAATTGGATGTTCTTATATTGAAGACATTATATTGGATATATGTTGGCATGACGCCCCCTTTATTTTCTTTCTTATCTTGACGTCATGTTTGCAGCAGCTGCACCTTCGATGGGCTGATTAGGCCCTGGAGCAGTTTTTCTACCGTGTGACGGAATGTGTTTTGGTATGTTTTTTAACGCTTTTTTTCGCGGAAATAAACACCAATCTAAAAGAAGCGTCAAGGAAATGGACTCCGTGTGTCTGCAGCTCAATTGTGGCCTAATAATGTTGGCGACCGAAGGAACGCCGCTACAGCTGGAATGCGGGCAGTACACAAGGAAGTGCCTATGTGTGCTGCAGCGAGGGCACAACGTGCTGGTGAGTGCGTGCACTTACTCTGCAGAGTCAGCAGGCAGGATGGATATGGAGGAGAGGTGGGAACTGTAGGAGGAAAAGAAAACATTGTTAGCACCTCAGACTCCTCGACCCCTTCAGCCTCAGACACGGATGCTCCTCGGAGCAGAAAGAGACAAAACAGCGGAGAAGAATGACAACAACCACGAGTACATGTGAGCATACTCACTGTGTGTGTGTGTGTGTCTGTGTGCGTGCGTCAAGTCAGACATGATGAGCGGAGTGATTAAAATGAGGCTATTGAACAAATGACAATCTCAAGAAATGCAATAAACACACACACAGACACACACACACACACACAAACAAATAGTCAAAGTTCCCTCACTGGCGCCTCTCTGGGTGGGCAGATTGCTATTTAGGCTACGGAGCACCGCTGAGTCCTCCTGATCAGATAAAAGGGTGTGTGCGTCAAATCATATTCTGTGTTGCTCCACAAAAAAGGGAGCGTGTGTGTGTGTGTGTGTGTGTGTGTGTGTGCGTCGTGAAACAGGGATCAAATGAGTCTGTTGATTCAGCAGCCTGCCGCTGGCCTTGCAAATCACACACACACACACACACACACACTCACACACACTCACACACACTCACACACACTCACACACACTCACACACACTCTTGTGGGGTGAGCAGTGCTCGTGGTTGTCTTGTGCGACAGAGGGGAGCTCCAACAACCTGAGGAGTGATGACGGGCGAGAGCGTCACCTCCCAGTCGACTAAGGAACCTGGAGGATGTTAAACCGGCTCCATCGCAGCAGCTGATCCCCGATCCTCCAGGACGACGCGCTACCCGCGTCTACTTTACCACCGCTAATAGCGCTGCTCATTAGCCTTCAGCCTCTCAGTTAGCCTTTACTAGGTTAGTAAGTTCCTTGAGATGTGTGTTTGGCCAAAGATAGTGAAGAGAACGGCTCACTTCATGATCAATGTCAGATTGCAGAATGCAGCTGGACGCACATTTTAACAAACAGACCATGAAGATAAAGTGTCTACTCGTGTCGTTGATCTGAGCCTAAAACAGACAAAAAGGCTGAGAGTGCAACAGCAAACAAGTATTTGGAGATGAACATCTACTCCCATGACCTGTACTGGTAATGAAACCACGACATTTGAGCACAACTAGATGTGACTTTTAATGTACGGAATATAATATGATACTTCACATGATAATGCTATCTAGCATTTTGCGCCTCAAAGGCTTGTGACCTTCATGTGGGAGCAGATGAAATCGTGGTTGTGTGCTGTAGATCACTACAGCAGGGAAAAAGTTAGCTTGAGCAAAATGTTTTTAAAAAAACACTTAATGCTTATTTTTCTATTCTTTTCAAGGCAGAGTTCACGTTTTATAGGTAAGAGGCATCAGTTGTGGATCTTGTGGCGTCACCTTATCTGACTACAACATCTCACAATGACTGCAGGTCAAATTAACAACAGAGTAACGTTGGGAAAGGGCTGATAAAGGGCGTCCTTCCTTTATTTACAGCAATGGCTCGATACAAAGGGAACAAAGAAGAGTGTGCGTGTGTGTGTGTGTGTGTGTGAGCGTAAGGTGAGTTTGAGGTTAGTTGTGATTCCAGAGGTGCTGTTGTCAGCAGACCTGATTCTGTTCTCTTCTGGCTCTGAGGTACTCTGCTGCAGTGCTGAATGCATTCTTACATCTGAGAAGAATATAATTCTAATGAGTAATTATTCCCTCAATTACCGAATGTGTCGACCGCAATCAAGATCAAGAATCCACTTCTGTAATTTACACCCAACGTGAAGAACGTCCAGGAGCGGCCAACAACTTCCTCCAAGGGCACCTACATAGAAATGTTACATGTATATAAAACATGTTCTCGTGTTTTCAGCCCCTCTGTCGGAGAAATGCTGACACCTTCTCAGCCACATCCCTCGGCTCCTTGATATTGAAACTGCGTAACACAACTTGAGCTGTTACGTAAGGCCCTGCTCCGTTTCTATCCTCCTCTCTGTATTCTTTTTCCTTTCTGCCTGGTAACAAAACAACCGTCGAATCCCATTCCTCCATTTCTCATAAAAATAATCACTTAAAACCTTCCACTTATTCATTCACAAGTTGATCCATTAACGCAGCTTTTCCCTTTTCAACTCTTTGTTAACTATTCTTCTCTTAAACCCACACGTCGTTTATCATCGGACCTCGCCTGCGTCCATCCAGTCATTCCTTCCAGTCGGACTAGACAAGTTACGCAAGCTGCCGTTTACCTCTGCAGCAGAATGTCACAGGCCATTCTGATTCTGCCAGCTGTGTTCCCCTCAGCGCGGTCTGTCCTTTTTGTTTGGATTCAGCCTGAAGGCTCCTGAGGGTGGAGGTTGTGTGTCAGTTCCTCCGCTGCGTCTTCAAGCAGACGCGTACTGCAGGTTGTTGGGAGGGAAGTCGGCTCGACTTTCAGCCGATCTCAGCGAGCTTTCTGTGTCTTTTGTCTTTTTGCCTCCTGTAGGAGCCGACTCCTCCTCCTCCGCCGCTCCCGGGTCGTCTCTGGCTCCGCCCTGTGTCCAGCGGGTCGCTCATCCACGTCGAGCACCTTGAGGCGTCAGTGCGAGCAGCAGAGTCGGGGCATCATCTGGGGGCATTGTGTGGCTTCTTCTGAACCAGGGAGTGTGCGTCTGTGTGTGTGTGGTTGTCTCTGCCTGCACTGCCCGGTGAAATGCTGCAGTAAACATCCAGAGCTCTGCTCAAATATATGAGCTTCTGATGTAACCAGGCAACAAACCCCCAGGAGGACCAATGAGACGGGGCGGGCCGAAGTTGAGAGCCAATCGTGAAGAAGAAAGGACTCCCGTGAGCCAATCAAGAGTCAGAAAGGGGAGGAGATTTGACTTTTTCTGGTCGACTCAGGAGGTGGAAATGAATTCAGTAGTTATGACGGCCAGAGGACTAATGGTGTACTCACACACACAGGTACACACGCACGCACAAAAAACGCACACGCCTGTGTGTGTCATATCATTGCGTGAGAGCATTTAAACATTTGATGGGATATTGGTGAGAGAGATGAGAAGAGGGACAGCGATACCTGAAGGGAAACGGCGCTGAGAAAAAGAGGGAGGGGCTTATTCAAGCTTAATTATGGTGTTTCAGTGCATTTCAGTTAGGGGGCGTGTCCCTGCTGAGAACGCCAAGCCGGCCGGAAACGTAACTGTTCAACTTTAGCAGCATCTGGTTGCTAAGATACGGAATACTTGCGAAGTGCTGAGTCTTGAGGGAAACAACGTGGGCACCTGTTTGGTGAATCAGATTCTGTGAGCGAGCAAACGTCTCGGCTTGCACCGCTGTTTCGTTTTAAATTTAGATCAACCCTGTTATCCCACAGGGGAAATGTGGAAACACGAGGACACCACGAAGTCCACAATACAAACAACAGCATAACACGCACAGCAGCACAAGGCTCCGATGGAGACAGAGGTCTGATCCCGCCCCTGCTGCGCTCTCATTGGTGGATGGATAAAAAGTGGCCGTGGCAACGAAGCATTTCAACTCTTAGGGCCCCCCCCCCCTTGCACGCTCAGTGTCTGGTAAATACTGCTACTTATACTAGTAAGACTCTGGTTATAACGCGTTAGGGATGTGGCCCCTTTTATCTCTGACTACACTGCGTGTCAGATACTGTAGAACAGCAACACGCGTCACGGCACGAAGGAGACTACGTCAGGTTCTTTATGTCCTCGTAATGTTTCCATCAGGACAAGACTTCAGATTAACCGTGTTCAAATTAACAAAGGACACCACACTTGAGATTCTCTTGTCTGGATTCCACAAATTACTCAAGGAAATGAAGGATAACCGCTGTGCAACTTTGTTCGTTAATCATCGACTGGTTTGCCGTTGATTTGTGGCTCCTGGTACTTTACCACAAACTCTAATCCCAACATTTAGCGCTATGATAGCACACGTGTTGCGTGCCGCTATCCAGGTCAGTCGGTCTATCACATTACACGTTGTGTCCTGCGCACAATCAGGAAGTGAAAGGAGGACACAACGCGACACATTATTATACAAGACAACGAGAACATCAACAACACGCGCCTATAGGAAGAGGCAACTGTCAGAGCGTAGTTCATGTTTATATTTTGGTCAGATGTCTTATTTCAATGTGTCAGTAGTGCAGTTCCTGTTTATTTCTGTAAATCACGCAGACATATGATTCACAACAGGTGACTGTGTGAAAAAGCAACACAGCAGGCTCAGCTGTGAGACACATGACCCTCAAGGACTCTTTGAGGGCTTTGCTTCACGAAGTAAAGAATTGTCTGGAATATGCCTCAACTTTAAAATAAAAAAAATAATAATACGAGATGGCGAAGAAGACCGGAAACAACCGAGGAGTTGGGATGCATGCAAACGTCCCGCTGGCGTCTGATTGGTCGCTCGCTGAAAGCTCAACCAGCCCAGAAGGGAACCGGATTCAATCAACACCGAGGGCCGGCGTGATGTGGTGAATGAGTCCATTAGCCCCCCCCCCCGCCCCCCTTACCAGGGCCAGGAGTGGATCCCTCTGCCTGCCAGGATATTTCTGTGGCCTCGTGAAAAATATTTTCCACAGAGGAGATATAAGCAGAGTAGAGGAGGGAAGTAGTAACGGGGGAAGCAGATGGATCAGAAGAGAAATACCAGGGTTGATATATATATATATAGATTTGAAATGAGCACAGCTGTCAGCATGTAAGGTGTGTGTGTGTGTGTGTGTGTGTGTGTGTGTGTGTTGGCTGTACAGAGTCTATAAGGGGAGCACAGACTTCCCCTGTCTTGTCAAGTACAAGACCAAACAACCTTCGCTTCGGTTAACATGGAGTCACTAGACAGGAACTTTCTTCTCCCCTCTCAGACCGACACGACCAGCGGTGAGTCGGGGAACAGCTGATGAAACACGTGTAACAGTCAACGAGTCTCAGTTAAACAATTAACAGTGAACTCAGGATTTTAAACTGAAATGCAAAACAAATCAACAACCCATTTTTCGTTAAAAGAGCTGTTTTTTAAAAGCACCACAACCACAACCTTAAAATTCCCGAGGGTGGTTGATTGTAGGTCAGATGAGCAGATAGCCCAACAGATGTATTCTTTAAGCTGCGGTGTGGACCTTGTGCAGGTCTACGTTTGCAGCCATAAATCCCCCCCCCCCCACCAGACACCGGGGTCAGACAAGGTCACAGGGATGACTGCCAGCCGCCGCTGCAGCACCATTAATACCGACTGGAACACGTGCAGATGAAAGTGCAGCTGTTTGGTCAGTGCCGTGTGATGAAAAAGAAAATGCTGCATGTACACCCCCCCCTTTGAGTACCAATGCAGCTGCTATCAACAGCCAGTAAACACACACACGGGGACGGGGAGACATGTGTGCTGTGTATGTGGATTATTGTCTGTAATCATCTTAAAAGCTAGTGGGACTAGCAGCACGCAACACACACACACACACACACACAGATTTATTGTCTTGCATTGCTTCACAGCGTGATCTTTATCTAACAGGTAACCAGCTCACGGCGCTGAACCAACACACCTTGTTACAAACTTCCTTGGTACAAACGACGGTTCAGTCTCCACAGCAGGACAGTAACCGATATATTTGGGGAGGTTGAGAACACAAAATTAACTTTTCTGTATAAAAAGAGCATGGATCCATAGCAGATGAGGAGGACAGCAGAACAACTGCCCTCCAATTAAAGGAACATTTTGCACAACACTTTGACTGAAAATGAAGAGTTTTTTTTACAATAAAATGCACCGGTAATTTCCATGGTCCATTTGTAATGTAAATAGTGATTTGTTTTGAATAAACCTGCTGCTGCTTTGCAGAGAGGAGCGCGGACTCACTGACCTACTTACCGATTTCACCCGAAAGGCATTCTGAGGCCTTTTGTGTTTCCTTTTGAAACGTTGTGACTTTGTGACCATAAGACCACAAAGGAAGTGACCTTTGTGGTCTGTAGTGACTGGAGTTAAATACGGTGCTGTTCTGGAGACATGATAAGTTGATGGGTTATAGTTTTGGGGGTATTGTGATTTGCAGTTTTAAATGTAACGTGCAAATCTTGTTTCTCAGCATCATCGTCTCCTTTGAGCATCACTGGTTGATAATGACACTGTTCTTTGTGAGAATACACCAAAGATAAACAACAGTGTGGCTTTCTGGAATCAACGTGAAGGAGATCAACAACCAGAGGGGATGCGGACGTTAAATAATGAGCGGATGAGCGAGTGCAGCGACTCCTCTCATGCGGTGAGTCGTGGTGCCTCACCTGGCGGCGGGGTCGTCATGGGCGAGTGTGTGTCGTGGTGAGTCGGAGGAGGAGACGGGACCCTCCTCTCCGTCCTGAGGCAGCTCTTCACATTCGGTCTCGCACTTCTCGTCGTCCAACAGCTCTGTGATCTGAGGACGGAAACACGCAGGTTATCACTTATGTTATTGACGTGTGACCGTCTATGAAGGAATAACAACCGGAGATTACCACGTTTACAAAGCTGAGATTCTTATTTTGGGAGTTGGTTTGGTTTTTCAAAAGGGAAAATAGTTAAATATGACATAAAACCTTCAGGCAGTGCTGTACTCATGAGCCGTTTCATGTTTTCCGGTGAATCTCACCAGGAGGAGGCGAGCAGCCACTCATGCAGCAGAGGCTCGTGTGGATGGTTTATAGTCGCTCCTCCAACCAGAGGAGCTCACATCAAAACCATGTAGGTTGACAAAGAGGAAGACGAGTGTTCCTTATGGGGGGAACTTTCTCAAAAGTTATCAGGAGGAAGCGCGCTCAGGAAACGTGGTGAAGAAACACTTTCTTCTCCTCCGTCTCTGCCTCCCTCCTTCTCTCCTCTCAACAGCGAGCCCATCTGCTGCTGTCACGGTGCCGTTGCTACGGCAACACCCCCGTTCCAAGCGCTCCGATTGGTTGTCAGGGAATTATCGTCACATTGTGCAGATTATTGAAGCTGACGCAGGAAAGTGATTATAAGAAGAAGTCCTGGTCTACACACAGCTTCACCCTCACTGGGTACATTCTCCATTAAAACAGTGTTTCTCACAATGAGGTTAGGAGGTCAAAATGAGTTAAATGTTGACTAAATCGTATAAAAAAGCTGAGAAATAATAAATGTCACCACGCCGTCTGACTTGAGCTTAGCGAAACTATTTAGTCTCAACCAATCAGAGCTTCAGGTTTGCACGTAAACACAACGGAGTGGTTCCTTAGTTGTGACAAGTCAATGCAAGATCCAGTGTTTCCCCACAAGAGAACGACAGAGGAAACACAGAGAACTGTTCTAATGTGTTGAATGAAATATTTTCATTAGTTACATTTTAGACAGAACTACTACGTTTAACTAGTCATGATTTAAACGCAGATATCTTTAGTCTGGCCAATCTATATATACATTAATGTATTCTACAACAATAGCTGGTTCAATGCTTGTACAAGAAGAAATGGTCATTATGTTTGTCAAATATTTAAACTGAGCGAGGGAGCATGATCTCAATGACATTAAGAGATAATCAGCAAGGGGTACGATCTCTCCTTTAAGTCCAATTAAATCATATAAAAACAGTCATCAAACAGGCAACTTTCTGCTATCTGCATTCCGATAAGTGTTCTTTTGTTCCTAAAGTCATGGGCAGGATGAAAGGTCCCAGTTTAAGGGACCTAAAGATGTCAATTGAAACTTCTGGTCAACGCAAAGGACATATTCCATCACGGCCGTTTGCTTGTGTTATGCAACACCTCAAATATGGACGTCCCTTTGTATGTGATCATTGAACTTAATAAATAATGGAACTTGGAAGTATTACAGGCGTTTATTTAAATGGCATGAACGCAACGGAGGTTATCAGAGAGCCTTTGAGGAGATGTGACAAGATTAGTGGAAACGAGTTACACACATCATTCATATGCTGAAAATAATCACCCTCTTATTAAAGACTGGAGAAAAAACCCTCCAGTTTAAAAAAAGAAGTGTTTTTCGGGATAAGATTACATCTCTGTTTGGTGAATGTGTGCGTTTGTGTGTGTGGGCGTCGTGAGCCTGCAACAAAAGGTCTTGGCCTTCGCCCTGGTCCAGCGGCCCGGTCCAGTGTTTCAGGACGGAAAATGAAGACAAACAACAATCCCAGTGGAGCGAGAACACAGAACAATGACTTCTGCCTGGAACTGACATTTCAGGTCTCGAAATGTCTCAAAGGACCTCTTGTACCTCCCCTACATTCTGATGTTAGTTTGGTAAATTCCAAATGAGTCAAAGCATTGTATTCAAAAATACACCAGAGAACTATAAAAGGCCTCTGCCTGTTCATTTAGATTCATCCTGTTGATTTGAAAATGTCACATCATAGATGCTTTTCCCTTCGTTTTTTAATGCAAATGACCTGAGTGTTGCAGCAACATTCAGGAGCTTTGTATCTATAAGTGATGGGTTTCAAATTGAAAACAAATTCTAAACACAAAGATGAAATAATCATGATTTCTAAGCTCAAACAAGGCGTTCCTGCTCGTTAGTGCGAGACGTTTCCTTGCATCAGCTCCACCGGAGAGGAACGTACTGCAGGGAGCGGGACTGTTCCCACATGTTCAGGCCTATATGCTGCTGAACAGTAGGACAACCTCCGCTGTGGGACATTACTCCATTTGATGTCCCCGGTGCACAGCTGTAAAACCCCTGGGATATCTCGCACGAGGCTCAGCTCCAGAAGCATGCGATGGTTACACTCGCAGACCTGGAAACACGAGGCACGGTGAAGAGACACGCCAGGCCTCTGAGAGCGCGACGCACCGTTTATGTTAATGGCGCTTTAACTCAGACAAGTAGGGAGATCTGTTTTTATGGACATTCAAAGGATCGCTCGTGCAGTATGAGGGAGAACTGGAACCATGCAGCGGTGTTCTGCTTTGCTTATGTTTGTCTATAAATAAGCGTCTTACGACACAGGGGATCGACGTGTCAAATTGGGGCTTGAGATACTGCGGCCAAATGAAATCCCTTTTTGATGAACGACGGTTGATAGAATGCGGTTGATAAACCTTTTGTGCCACGTGGGCGGAGGATTCGGGAGGTGCAGTCGGGCCACGGACTATCTCAGTACTGAGCGCACAGAGGACGACACTTTGTTTCCTCCCTATTGTCCAGATACTCAAAAAGATCTTCTTCCATCCCCGAATCAGAAATACACACCCGCCGGGATCGTCATGGCAACAGTAACCCAAAAGAAGGATGCCAGCCTCATTGAGTATAAAAGTTCTATCCCCTTCTATCCTTCACCCTCCTATCCTTCTATCCTTCACCCTCCTATCCTTCTATCCTTCGCCCTCCTATCCTTCACCCTCCTATCCTTCTATCCTTCGCCCTCCTATCCTTCTATCCTTCGCCCTCCTATCCTTCTATCCTTCACCCTCCTATCCTTCTATCCTGCACCCTCCTATCCTTCTATCCTGCACCCTCCTATCCTTCTATCCTTCGCGCTCCTATCCTTCAACCTGCTATCCTTCTATCCTGCGACCCTCCTATCCTTCTATCCTTCGCCCTCCTATCCTTCTATCCTTCACCCTCCTATCCTTCTATCCTTCGCTCTCCTATCCTTCTATCCTTCGCCCTCCTATCCTTCGCCCTCCTATCCTTCTATCCTTCGCCCTCCTATCCTTCGCCCTCCTATCCTTCTATCCTTCGCCCTCCTATCCTTCTATCCTTCGCCCTCCTATCCTTCGCCCTTCTATCCTTCGCCCTCCTATCCTTCGCCCTCCTATCCTTCGCCCTCCTATCCTTCTATCCTTCGCCCTCCTATCCTTCTATCCTTCGCCCTCCTATCCTTCTATCCTTCTCCCTCCTATCCTTCTATCCTTCGCCCTCCTATCCTTCTATCCTTCACCCTCATTTCCTTCTATCCTTCTCCCTCCGATCCTTCTATCCTTCACCCTCCTATCCTTCTATCCTTCACCCTCCTATCCTTCTATCCTCCTATCCTTCACCCTCCTATCCTTCTATCCTTCACCCTCCTATCCTTCACCCTCCTATCCTTCTATCCTTCACCCTCCTATCCTTCTATCCTCCTATCCTTCACCCTCCTATCCTTCTATCCTTCACCCTCCTATCCTTCTATCCGTCACCCTCCTATCCTTCTATCCTTCACCCTCCTATCCTTCTATCCTTCACCCTCCTATCCTTCTATCCTTCACCCTTCTATCCCTCTTCCTTCTATCCCTCATCCTCCCATCCTTTGATCGTGAAGACTGTGTGGGTGGTAAAACAATCATCCACCTCCATGCAGTGGCTGGAGGTGTGAGCTGCATGGTTACATCATTAACAGCTTCTTTTCCTCCCTCCCTCGATTTCATCCTTTTTCTCTCCGCACTCTCGCTATGTCTCCCCCATCTTCCTGGACTTGTTTTCTCCCCCTTCCTCTCTTAACCACACATTCTTTCTGCCCTGCGTGTTACATAAGACACACGGATCACTGCCCAGATGATTTGCTTTCACGGTGCCTGCTGCTCGTTCTTCTGCTCTCAACATTCGCCCATTGGGGAGCTTTTCCTCTTTATCCTCATTCATCTGAATTTGAACAATACAAATTGAATTCAAACAGCTGCAGGAAAGACATTTCTTCTTCTGCTGTTTATTCCATCTCAATCTAATTATTATTCTCCTGCAAGCCAGCAAGCTTGTTTTCCTCAATTAGTGAAGGATGTGACAGATGAGGACTCCAAGGCGCCTCCATTACGAGGGAGCAAAGCGTTTACTACGACAGTCGGCAGTTTTAAATACATTGCAGAACTGCCAAGAAGAAGAAACAAAAAGAGGAGGGAGGGGGAGGGGGGGAGACGGCGGTTGAGTGTAACTGAAAAGGTGAGTTACCACAGACACGGTTGCAGCCTTTAACTTTAACATTTAAATATGATCTCTACCTTAATGCTGCTTTGTTGAGATTAAACTGTTGAATGGCGACATGAAATAACAATCCACAGCAATGATTGTCTTCCTTTGTGCACGTTATCGTCCAATAACACAATGTGGTGAAGCCCCCGTGAAATGAAAGGTTGCCGGTTATTCTTTGAGCACACCCTGCGTGTTGCCGGGTAACGGGGGGAATAACTCCGGGTTAGTTGAGTCTCGTTTCCTAGTGTCAGTTCAACTCGCTCACACAGCTCAGCACTTATAGTGCAACAGGCCGGTGTGTGTGCGTGTGTGTTGTGTGTGTGGTGTGCGATGGGCTCTTCTACATTCTTATGAATGTATTTTCTTGGTAGAAGAACTTTCGGTTCAGTAGTTCCATGTATAAAACACAAGTACTTTCTGAAATACTACACCGCACTAATACTACTGGCTCACTAAGGTTTGTGTCACTGGAGGAGATTTGCGTTTCTAGATAAGATGAAGTCATTAAATCCCAAAGTGTTTCCTGTCGTGGCCCCGGTCACAAGATCCACTGATCAGGATCTCCGGAGTGAATTCCTGCAACCTGGTGGATATTTGGAGGGTGTTTTTATCCACAATTTATAAAACACAAACCTCCATCCAAGATGTATCAGGAATGGGAACGTTTGTTTTTCTTGATTTGTAATCTCATTTTATTTGTAACTACAGTGATCCCTCGCCACTTCGCGGTTCACTTATCGCGGATTCGCTATTTCGCGGATTTTCATATTGCATTTTTTTTTTTTTGGTGCATTGTGCTCTGCATTCTGATTCGCTAAAAACTCACTCCCGAGCCGTTCATTACAGTTCTCCAACGTAATCGATGGTGGCATGTCGGTGTACAATGATCTTTTTGCAAAGAAGAAAAAAGAGCGACAACAGCTGCCTATCACTATGTTCTTCTCCCGAACAAACACACCTGCACCGCGGGCTTCAGAAGAAGAGAACACTGCAGAGCGCAGTCAGGATGCAGCGGCCCAGTCTGAAGAGCAGTGAAACGGCCTACACGCGAGTCACTGTATTTGTATACATGTAATAGTTGCTAATTGTAAAAAAAAAAAAAGTTTTCTATTTCGCGGATTTCACTTATCGCGGGTCATTTTCGGAACGTAACCCCCGCGATAAACGAGGGATTACTGTATTTAAATGGAATGTCGATAAATAATACTGTATCAATTCATAACAATGTAGAATTTTCCATGACAAGTATATACTTGAAACAAACAACTTGCTTCAGGTTCTCCAATGTTAGCAAAAGCCAGGTCATCAGAGTCAGAGTCACTTAATGTGGGATACTGTATAAGAGCATTAAGCAATGGCAGTTAAAAGCCACATTCAGCGCGTCGCTAAAGAGGACGAAAAATGTATGTTTGAGGTGTTTTGTAATTGGACTATTTCTCAGGGGTGTAATAGCGTTTATCTTATGCAAAAAGCTTTTCAATAATGTGCAGTTCATTCTTTTTTCCCTATGGAAATGTATTGCAATTTTTAAATCCATATTCTGACTATAGAAGGGGAAATAATTACTACAAAGACTTATTTGGGTGGAGTGCTGAGCAAAAATAGAACAAATATATTATCCATATGAGATGAGTGGGTTTGAGACCAAATATTAAAATGAGGAATAGAATTAATAAAGAATTACAACCTCTCTAAACATATTTTAAGTATAACACAAATGAGACTATTTACCATGTTCGGACAAAGTCTTCAGGAGATTAACTTGGCGATGGACAGAGAAGGTGAGGAGGTGAGGAACGGAGGTGACGGCCGGTACCTGTTCGTTGATGGAGCTGTAGTCGTTGGTGGTGGAGACGTCATCTTCCTCGGAGTCAAACAGGCCCTCCTGGTTGTCCAACAGCTCCGCCAGCACTCTGCTGACAGACTCCTGGTCCCGAAGGTCCTCTCCTTCAGTTGACAGACTGCGAACACGAGGCCAGAGAAGAGCGTGTTGAGTCGCTTGTGCACTGGTCCTCATGGGAGGTCAACTAACTACAGGAAGCGAATACATGCATGTGTAAGTGCCTCCGTGTGTATCTTTGTCTGGATGTATGTGCAAAGCATGCACGTGTTTGTCCTCCGCTCACAGTATCCGACAGCGCAAACTATTTCGCGAAAGAGATGATTTAGGTCATTTAGGCACAGTTATGGGCGTCTTACTGGAAGATGTCGGGCCCGAAGACAGCGGCCAGCGTGCCGATGTTCCAGCTCTCCTGCTGGAGGGAGGCCACGCTGGCCAGGAAGCGGCACAGGAAGCGCAGCAGGCCGTAGTTGAGCTGGGGAAGCTGCTGCAGCAGGTACTTCAGGTTTCTACACAGATCTTCTTCATTGCTGTAATCTGAAGGTGGTTAAAGAGATGGATACGGGTTGTGAGTGATGCCACTTTGAAATGCTACATTGCCGTTAACACATCTTACTTATTCTCATTACTTCCAGTAGAAACGACTGTTAATCATAATTACCATTATAATAATATGCCTGACGCATGCTGCACTCAATGCTGCTAAATGCTCCTTTTCACGATGTGGAAGGAACTATGGGATATCAATTCTTTTACGTTCATGCCAGGTTGACCTTAAACATTCTTCACTAAAGAAAACGTGCAGCCGCAAATGAGATAAATGTCTGATCCCCAGTGGGAGGAGAGATGAGGTGGAACAGAAAAGGCCTTAGTGGTGTAGTAATGCTATGACAGTATATGGAGATGATAAAAATGAATGACATGGTGAGTCCCAGCAAGCTCCCCACTGCTGTGTTATGCATGACAGCCACATGGGATAGATAGATTATCAGGGGTAGAGGCCAGTTGTGAAAGTGACAACATATTGTCCATTAAGCATGTATGGATAGCATAAAAGATGAGATATTAATTAGATATGAAGCATTACATGATTTCTATAGCTCAAAATACTTCATGACTAAACGGTGTTGATGGGTTCAGAGGATGAAAAGGCACCGGGGTTGGAGAAGCGGCGCTCCTCACACACCTTGGTGAAGCTGTAGAATGTGACCCTGTATGGCCGTCGGGATCACCGGCTCAGGAAGCTCCTGCAGGAAGAGTCGCAGCAGACTGACCGCTGACGCCAGGTCCGCCTCCTTCTCTAGCTCCACCTCCTCCCCACTGTCATAGCGCTGGCGCAGCCAATCCACGCGCTCCGCGTTGCCGTTAACAAGGAAGAGCCCCTCCAGGTCCAGAAGACCTGACCACACGTAAGGCAAACTCATTGCAGCATTTTTCAAATATGTGATCTTATTTTCCTGATTTGTTTAATGAGTCTGGGTCCTTTTTTATTTGTTGATCCCGCTCTAGCACCTACTGCTGATCCAATCAACGCCGTCTACTGCAGACGCAACTACGCAAAGTGTCAGAAAAGAATTCAGCGGGATAAGAGTAAATATGTCACTGACGCACCTGATAAACATCCCCAACGTGCCAACGAGAACAATCATTTACATCCCGCAGGGACTTTTCCTCTCGTCTAGTTTGAGCGATGGGGTGACGGGGTACTTCTGAGCTTTGGACCCAATGAAAATAAATAACTGCCCGACGTGTTAATTTAATGGACAACTGAAGAATGAACCGGTGACTTATTTGGTCCAGAAATGCAGGAGGTGCTTTTGCGTGGTTCAACAACAACAACAAGGCCGGTGGATCATCTAGAGCGCCACGTAGTCCCATAAAAAATATGTATTGGTGATTTTGAGGGGAACCCTACGGGGATTTGTCTCCATTCCTAACCGGTCGTCCTTTTTCCCCTCATCCTATCGCATACAAAGTCCCTCTTTGTCATGATGACTACTGCAGATGTCAAGAAGCGAAAGTACCAAGATCATTGTGACTAAACACCTCGATCACGTGATCGCATCGACCGAGTTAAGCGGCGTTGCTTCAACAAATATTTACACAATGACAATTTAAATGAGTTTCAGGCGTCTCAGTGACTCAGTGGTCAAAGGCCGATAACAGAACAATCTTCTGACATGTGCATGACTTTACTAGACTGAAGAACCAGGAACACGCTGGATGCATAACCTTCAGACACAACTCCAACCGGGGACATGACGGGCGGTTCACTGGCTGAGTAACTGCCGGATGGGCAGCGGCGCTCTAATTGATGCGCCGGCAGGATTAAAGCCTGATTACATAACCTCGTCTGGTTGAGCGGGTCGGTCTCACCACCAGCCGGATTCACTTGTCACTTGAGTGGATAGAGGTGAAGGTTCATTTCAATAGCTTTAAAAAAAAGAAACGTACCGACCGGGTTCACAGGTTTTTATAAGAAAATGTATTATGACTAAACCTTTCTGTTTTCTTTACTTTTTTCTCCGTGGATGTTTCTGACCTGCAGGCCTACATGATATGTAGATAAAACTCGCCTTTGAGCCATCAAATTGCTTCCACAGTGGGACACAAAGTCAATCCATTCTACATGCATATGCAAGGTTGACCAGAGATGATGAGATTTAGAGAAACAACCTTTGAGGGACTGACTCGGTATCTATTGGGATCACACCAATCGCACAAAGAGGATAGACTGGTGGAGTGGGGTGGGAGGGGCTTACTGGTGGTGTTATCTAGCCAGCATCATCACCGACTAAATGCACAAACATTTAGTCTGTGGCTGGTTGGTTTAGAACTTAAATTTGCCTCCAAAAGATCCCACTTTCTTATCGTGGAGCTTCTCTCCTTTAGAGCAGCATGTCTTGCAGCTGCCAACTAGCCCTAATGAAGACAGTGACATAAGACTGAAGTCCCTGCTCCGCGAGGCCTGAAGGAAAATGTCCCAGGGGGACGCGGGAAAAGCCCCGGGACAATACTGAGGTAGCTTCCTCTCCTTACCGCGAAGCTCCTCTGTTTCACAGAAACAAGTGTTGTGCATCATGGACCGAGGAATTCAGAGTTCATCTTATCACATAAACTGGTTGACAGATTTCAGTTCATCCTGATGGGGGTGAGGGGGCGGGGGCAGGAGAAGGCACTTAGAAGTGATAAGTGACATAACAACAGCAGCATTCACGTGTTTGTCTTCATCCAATCTTACATCAAGTCACAATGATTGTGCATTTTCTGTTTAACTGCCTGAAGGTGCAGAGACCTTTTACTCTACTGGATACGGGTTAAAGGAGCCGCTGTGGCTAAAGGGGCTTTAATCACAATGCCCCTCCGGCCCGCCTGTCGAACACCAGTTGAGCGAGACACTGAACCTTAAATTGCTCCTAATATTCAAAATAGGTTAAATGCAGAGGTCGTATTTCAATGGGTGAGCTGTCATTAAATTCTATATGTTGTATTTTTTAGTAGTATTTTTTCTTCATTCAAAAGTTAAATACGTTGAAATGAATAAAGAAGATCCAGTGTTGCTATAATACAATAAATGAAACTGAAAGCAATTATAATAAAGTGTAAGCTTTTACTGCCTGCAGGGGGATGTAGCTGCATATTAATACAGTGCAATACAAGAACACTGAAATGTTCAAGATCTGCTCTTACAAAGACAATATTTTGCTGCCAATTCAATCATTTTTAAAAGAAGCAATTCGATAATAAGATCCCTTGTCCAAGCATGAAAATAAAAAGCATGAAAAGGTTTTATTGAGTAACTGCGTGTGTACGATGTTTTTTGCTTTTATTTCAACTAATGTATCACCAAACATATGGTGTGCAGTAGTCAATGAAAAATGTACTATATCACAGATTCTGCTTGTTTATCTGGCATCTCAATGTACTGAAATTGCATTAGTGTCATCAGCATTGGTTAATATTTTAGACTAGTTAATATTAATTTAATTAAAACGATTCCCATGCAAGTCATAAAAAAGAAACAAAAAAATAGCTTGATAATTATTGATTGATAATGAGGCATAACTTTGTGTGTGTGTGTGTGTGTGTGTGTGTGTGTGCGCACGTCCGTCACTCACCATGCTCCTCGATGTAGTCGACAATGTGCTTCACGAGTGCAGGAACCTCGTGGCCACTGATGGCGTGCGTGCGTGTCACCTCCTCCAAAGGAACGCCAAAAACACGCGTGGTGCTGGCTGAGCTCCCGCCCTCATTGCCTGGCAACGGAGACACGCTCTTCCTCATGGCCGCCTCCTCCTCCTCACGACAGCCCCGCCAAGACCTCACGTCTTTAGGAGGGAGGGGGGATTAAGACAAAACGTCAGAACATGTGATTCACAAAACTAAAGGCTTAATTTAATTTTAATTTCACGTTTTAGCTAAATGACTCCCTGCATTTGAGGAACTGTGGCGGTAAAGTAAAGTAACTGAGAGCTGCTGTTGCTGTCGGATAGGTATAATATCACACGTCATGTCCTGTATTCAGGGGAATTACAAATATTTACTCCCAAAGAGGATGTTTCAAAGTAAATGAACACAGTTCCATGTGGGTGAAAGTCAGTGGTGTTCACACTGTGTTGGTTATGTAATCGTTTGGAGGTCATTATTTAAATTAGATTCCCGTCCCTGCAGCATTTGGCATCATGAAAGAGTCCTTAGTTACCATGCAAAGGCAGACGACGGGATGGAAATCTATGCAAAGCCAGCAAGAATCTGCAAAAACTATTTGTGCTCAAAGTTGGACTTTTTTTTATTGACAGATTATTAAAAGTATTGACAACAAATTTAATTATCGATTATCGATTGTTGTCACTCAATGAGTTGCGGAGATGTTATCATGTATATATTTTGTGCTTTGTCCCATTGTGTACTTGTTTTTGCCATTTTAAATTCATCTCATAGCACCTGGTTATTTTTTTGCTGTATTTAGATGTGGTTCATTCATATACTTAACTTGCACTACAATGTAATAATTTATTGAATAAGCTTCAAGTGAACATGGGGGTGTGTTTGTGAGTGTGTCTTGAGTGTGAGCGTTTGTGAGCGTGTGCGTCTGTGAGTGTAGAGAACCAGTTCTGACCTTAAAACAAAATCCTATTAAACTTTCCGATTTGTATTTTTCTTTATTTTTTATAAATTATTATTATGTTCAAGGAGCAACCTGGACTTCCTGGGTCTTTTGCCATGTGAATTTGCAGGTCTGTGGAAGAATAAAGGTTTGAAAATGAAAAGATTTTTTTAATGCAGTTTTTTAATCCAATTCATTGATTAATCGAAAAAATAAATCGACCGATTAATCGATTATCAAGATAATTGTTAGTTGCAGCCCTAGTGAAGATGTGCTGATCTTGTGCTGAAGCATTATAACAGAATGTTTTATATATTTATATACGACAAAAGAAACGATGAGTCAGATAGTGAAGTATTCCCCGACTGCCCAAAGAAAATCCAACTATTGCGTGTGCGTGTGTGCGTGTGTGTGTGAACTCACCGTGAAGCAGTGAAAGTGTGTCCGGTCTTCTCTTGCCTTAGCCAGTGAACCACCAAACCATCTATGGCTGCTTCAGGTTGTGGCAGAAGATGAGCCGGTAGTTCCTCATTGACGGACCGCTAATCCCTCTTGCAGGATTTCCTTCTAGCTACAGAGAGAGAGACAGAAAGACAGAGAGAGACACAGAAAGACAGAGAGAGACACAGACAGACAGAGAGAGACACACGGAAGAAAAGCCAGGAATGAGAGATAATGACAGAAGGAAAAGGCAGAAAAGAAAGGGTGGAGAAAAAGATGGAACTTGTTGAGTAACAATCCTTGGTACGTTCACAAACAGATGAATGGCTACTTTCTATACTGAGGTCAGGTCGTTTGTTTTCTCCAAAACAAGGAGAGACACAGAATACATCTGCAGAGTATCACCCAGATCTCAACGCCTCTGCACAACAATACAAACGAACATGTTTACATCAGGTCCCCTGTCCTTCTCATTTAGACTTTTGGGTTTCTTTCTCCTTCCTCTTTAATCGCATCGTCCCTCCGTGAGGCCCGACGTCGTGTCGTGCGGGAGTCACAGCACACGGTGATTAAAGCGACACCGGTTAGCGAGCCGTGCCGGTGTGTCCTGCGTGTCCACACATGTCCGTACACGCCCGAGGAAATGTGAGGAAACTGCCACTTTGGATCCGTGTACCTCGGCTGAGCACCTGTTGGTTGCTGTCACTTGCTGCAAGAGTGTGTGTGTGCAAGATGTGCGTATCTTATGAGGTGTCATTTTGAATTCACAGCATATTGATGTTTGAGGGATTGTCTGCACGCGGCTCACAATGTGGCAGCTAAGAGTGCAAATGCTGCAAAATGTTTCACTGGATGTACAAGGCCCACGCTTTTCTCTCACAATGGGTTTCATGCTTCAGAAAATACTCCTCGATATCTTTACATAGAGATCAGTTGTTTTCCGCTATATTGATGGTATTTTTCTAACTTAAAGATAAATGCGTGTGTTGAGAATATATGCCAGATGGGATTAAAGGGTATATGAGTGTGTCTGACTCAGCCGGTCTTTTTGAAAACACACACAGTTCAGCCTTCGAGAGAGTCAGAAAGACAGAAATATTCAGAAGATGGGGGAAGGGAAATGTGAAAGAGAAAGTGTATGGGCGTCATCTTAACATCTGTGTATACAGTAGTCGTCAGAGAGACATCTGTAAAAGGTCCAATTGATGCCAGCTATCAATAAAATCAATACATGAAATGATTGGGTTTCATGCTCCGTGCCATCAGACGGCTTACAGCGGTTTGACATTCAAATCTTCGTGGCAGGAATGTGATTATTCTAATTAAAACAAAACCAGCAGAGTTAAATGAACGGCTTTCAAAAGGACCAAGGATAAAAAATAATAAAAATATAAAATGTTGTGCCATGTTGTGAAAGCGATAATCTTTGTCTGAGCAATGCTCCAAATATTTGAGCCAAATCATAAATCATTTACCTTTTATTCAGTCTAACATTTTGGTCAATACGAAAATGACTGTTTGGTTAATAAACAACCTAAATCTTTGTCATGACCCTTGAAGTACACGTCCCATTACTGCCGCTGGTGAGACATATAGGTGCTGTTCATCGAGCCCTTTTTGTAACACATTTGGGAACATTCCAAGCAGAAGTACAAGGTTACTTCTGAACAGCCTGTATTTCTGCGACGCATGGCTCCATATGGAAGTGAAACCTCAGCCACAAGAAATAATACAAAAGAAGAAACATTGCTTTCCCTTTTCTCGCGCCCCGAGGTGCCTGAAGAGCGAGCAGCTCGTTTGGGTGCACCCATTAGCGTGCGCTTCCCTTTTCTGGTAGAAACTGGCCCCTTCTGCAACTCGGCCGATAGGTTTGACAACACGTGTCCCTCACCTGCGGGAACCTCCCGCTGATGTGGGATTTTGTTTTTCCTCTTCTACCCCTGCAACTCATTTATCTAAGGATGAATACAGCGGCCTCTTTCCAGTGAATACCTGTGAAGTGTCATGATTGATACGCTTCTCACTCGACCCTGAAACATGACGAACGTTTCTTGTTCTTGTGTTCTCGTTACGTAAGGTTATTAGACGGGTCTTACCCGCTTGCACATATAGATTGTGGAGTCATCTGAAGAGATCCTCCAGCCCCTTTTTACCCACAAAACCTTACATCACATTACATTACAGGTCATTTAGCAGACGCTTTTATCCAAAGCGACTTACATTACACTTTAGTTGTTAAAGCGAGCGAGCTGCGGTCTTGGCCGTACTTATTTTTTGTGTAGGTAATATGTTGTTAAATATGTTTAAACTTAAAATAAATTACCTATACAAGTGGTTATGTCTCGTTGTATTAATTTGTCCTGTTATGGACGTGTCTAATGCGCAACCAGATATTACAATATCTGTGTTTTTTTAAAGCGAATATTCGAACATCATTTTGGAGCAATTTTGACAGCCCTACCCTGGACCTCTTCAAAAGCTAGAGAAGTAAATCAGACTGAAAAAATTCTATTGGGTCAGAGCCCGTACTACTGAACGCAAAAGAAGAACCACAAACCACATAATGTTGTGGTAAAGTGAAACCTGTTCCATAACTTCTGATGAATAGCACAGTACCTTTTAAGCCGGGATGGTCCTGAGACACATGAGGACAATGACACTCACAGGTTACGGACCAGCCTGCTGTGAAAACGGACCCTAAAAAGGACTTTGGCGAGTCACGGAACGGTCGAGAGAAGCTGTCTGTCTGTGGCCTTAATCCCGGGTATCCTGCTCGACAATGAGGCCCATTGTTAGGGGGGGAATCGGAGACAGTTAAGGCGGTGCACTGAGAGAGAAAGAGAAAGTAAAGTGAGAAAGATTGGAGAGAAGTAGAGAAACCTTTGATTTGATCAGTCGCATGGAAACTTTCCAGAGTTGTAAAATCCCCCCTCATATGTTACTACAAAGTGCCTCAAAAGTCACTGGCATCCTAATCAAAGCTTGTTGTCTCACTGGAACCTTTTTATTTTGTGGTGAGAAGTGAGAAGACCTCTTTTTGCAAACAAGTGAGTTTGCTTTCATATCAAAACGCTTCTGACCTCTGACCTCCTTCTGGGCTCAACAACCAGGGAGCGCCTGGAGGTGTGGTATGTGAGTCTCGGCCTCCGTGTTGGCTTGTTGGGTCTATCATTCACGCAGACGTCCCATGACCCTGACACCTCACTGTACTTCCTCCTAGTCACCTTCCACATGCAAACCAGTACACACCTTAAAGAAGAGGAAATGAATCCTTCAACCACTGAACACATGGAATGAAAACACTGGTAAAAGTATATACATGTATACACATTTCCTCATGTGACCGACAGACTAGCTACACAAATTAAGAGTCTTAGTTCTTTCTCCTTGAATTAAAAGGATCTTCAGCAAAGTGACCCAGCAGGATTCATGTGTTGTGTCTCTGAGTGTTGGAGAAGGTCGTCTTACATTTGGGCAGATAATGAGTTATTTAAATAAAATGAGCGAGAGTAACATTCTGTCCTAATTGTTAAATTAAACATTAAACTTTCTAACCAACCCGGTGGTCCCACTCGTGCTGATCGAAGAAGCCGAGTAATAAGTTTAATTATGACCTGCTGAAAACCGCGTCGCTGTTTTATCATCAAGCGTTCAGAAAATCACACAAACACACACACCCACTTAGGTTAGTAACCTTATTATCTTATGTCTCTTATTCACATCTTCAATATTCAGATCTGAGAGCCAATGCGAAGGTCCGCATGCACGTTCTCCAAAAACACAGATGAAAGGGGAAAATTGGAGAAAGAGAAGAAGCAGCGTTATGGGGGAATAAAAGAGCTGCAGAAAGAGGAAGATCGGAGGTTAGAAAAATAAATAAAAGAGTAAGCGAGGTCTTGACACTTTTGGCTGTGACTCTGGTGGTTGATCGGTGTTTATTCACCATAAAGTGTTTCAGTGTGACGTGAACCACAGCGGACCCACAGCCACTGAGAAAATGACACCGATCTCGTATGATTTAGTATCGACCAAGATCACCTCACTCGCTTGATGGGAAGTTCCAGACTACTGCTCTCTGACATAAACAGTCCCTCTTCCTGTTGTCTTTACGCGGCGACACGCCCGACAGCTCTGTGAAAGCAGCGGCGGCGCGATGAGGAAGCGAGGCCGCGGCGAATCAACGAGGAAATCCCGAGCCGGTTGTTAAATGTCGTTGAATGAACAGTCTTCGCTCTATTATCCTCGGGATTGAATGGGACTCAATTACCGCGCGTCCTGTCAGATCCATCTGTGCCTGTGTGCAAATAACGCATCCAAACACCAGCTGCGAGCGCGTGCTGTCGAACGGGAAGACAGAGGCGCTTTCACGCGGCGGCCGAGCCAACTGACAACAGGAAGTGATGTGTGATCGGCTCGGTGTATTCTTCTTAACAACGTGCTGCTCGTTTGCATGAGCTCTGCACCATATTTCAATATGTTGGTGCAGAGCTCATGCACATTTAGTTGAAACGTGCAACATCTTCCTAAATTAAATGAAAGTAAGGTTATCTTCCTTATCTGTACTTTTTTGGGGGGTCTTGAGGCTTTTGTTGTTAAGTGCAGCAGGTTGTTAGGCAACGGGAGCAGCGGAGGTAAAGCTGATGACGCAAGCAGCGAGCCCCCCCCCCCCCCCGTAGACCAGACCGCCCCGGTTCATAGGGCGCTCGCTTCAGCCTACGCGGTTGTTGGAGGACCCGTCCGGGTCTACAAAGGCTGGAGGCTACAAGGATGCAGCCTAGCGACCTTGAGGCGTCTCAAGCTTATGAAAGCTGTAGAAGTATGTGAGGCAGGGTCACGTGACGGACACACGGTGGATTCTTGGGTTGAGGACGTCCTAGTTAGACTTCCTCCTCTCACTTACGAGCCGACAAACGGAAACAAACATGTTTGTATTTAGGAAACTTTTAAAAGGTAGAAATTTGGCGCAAAAAAACCTTTACACCTTCGTGTTGATGTTTGCAGTGGAAATAATTTTGTGTTTAATTCATCTCGAGCAGTGGTCTAAATTTGTACATTTGATATGAATCTGATGGGGAAGTGAAAACATTGAAAACCAGAACATTTCTTTCTCCATTTCCTTGAACGTTACAGGTTGGAAGTGTAGAGCAAAGTAAATATAGCGGATTAGTGAATATAATCCAATATTTGAATTTGTAGACTGAGAGAGGAATCAGAATTTGGAATCCTAAATTCCTTCAAAAGTCGATTTAAGAACTTAAATAGAGCAGAGTCTATTAAATATATATTTACACAGAACCAGAAAATGAAATTGGTCAACAAATCGCTTCTGTCCAATATAATGATGAGTATTTGTGATAAAGTACATAAATGTGTGGGGAGATATTTTGGTCTTGGATCTTCCAATTGAACTTTATCTTTCAAATACCTTTGAGGGGAAAACCACAGGCTGGATCCAATGCAAACCTCCACCAAGCAGGGGAGGACATGGCGGCTTTGCAGATGTAGGCTACGGCGTCTTGCAGTCATGTGACTTGTGACCTCTCCCTCTGCTCGACACATTCAGCAGATGCTGTACATTTACACTGGTGCCCTTAAAGCAGATTACTTCTGCCCACCCAGCCGCTCAGCACAGGATCAGGCTTCTGCTTCCCAAGCCTTTGTTTAAGAAAGAATATTGCACAAAACTACAAGAAGGATAAAGATTATGCGCTTCTGTCCGATGTTTAAAGTAAAATGTAGAGTTTGTCTCACCAAATCCCCTCTCATTACCTTCTGACAAAGAGGAGATTAGATTCTTAAAAACAATTCATAGATAAAATGAGCAGATGGTGACATCTGTTTTGGGTAATAAAGTGAACATAATAACTCGCAAATCGAGATCTTCTTCAATTGAGAATCCCGTAAAGCCAAGATTTCCCAAAAGCAGTCTTACTCAGTGATTATTAAAGGGAACAAACGTAGTTACACATCTCTTAAATCTGACCCTCACCTGGCTTCACAACATCAGTGATAAATGTGCCAGTTCTTCAGATGAACTGGTCAATGAAGTGAAATGAACCCAACACCGTTGAGAGGATGTATTCCAGTACTTGTAAGGACTCCAGGCCGGGGTGGGGCAGTGGAGCGTCCTTGTGGGGCTGATGTTGTTTGGGAAAGCTCACATGAATGCAGCACTGTTCTTTACGGAGACGCCTTTGTTGTTTCAGCTGCCTAATGGACTCATTCCATTTACGCGATCTTTGGGCCGGTCGGAGCCACGTTGCAGGGAACTGCTTCGGGCCCCTTTTGCTTTAACGTACACCAGAACACGAGGCTCCAAGGCTTCTTGTTATGTGATGAGATATCTCTTTTCCTTCGTCTCTGTACTTCTATCTAATTCCACTGCTTTGATTAGTCCTCGACATTTTAGTCATCCCATTATTGTGTTCATTGTATCTGAATGGTAAAAAAAAGTTAATTGCATTTTGAAACAATAGGCTATTTCCGTAGAGGTGTGAACACATGCAGACAGATTAAATCTGGCAAATGTCTGGCGGTGCGGGTGAAGCTGTAAAAGAGGGATTTGGATCACACTTGGTTAAGCTTGGTCCTGGTTCACGAAGCCTGCAACTGCCACTCGCTGACCTGGCAACAAGCATCCCACACTGCAGGCAGCTGTGTGGTTATGACACTACCGTGTGTGTGTGTGTGTTCTGTACAAAAACTATGGGTAGGCTTACGCACAGAGTCCTATCTCACACGGCAGGAGGGTGGAGAGTTTTGACACCGTTGGTATGCGCATACGTGACACCCATCAGATAAAAGGCTGCAGGTTCAGCTACAGTACACCTAATGAGAATTAATGCTAATCCTAGCACATGCACACAGAGAGTTCCCAGTGCAAAACACCTAACTGCACATTGAATCATTAGTCAGCCAGTGACTGGATCAGATTTTATCATCAGTCGGTATTTTTATCCCAAATACTGAATATCCTTAGAGGTTGTTTAGTCCCACTAAGGACTCCCACCATGAATCTGAAGTGTCTATACTTTTCCCAGATATAAGGACCTACGAAATTAAGACGCCCCTAATGATTAAGTCACATTAATTAATAATAAACCAAATTCAGCTAAAGCACTTTGATACCACAGCCCTGCAGTTAATTCTCCCTTTATGAACTTTACGTCAGTAGAGCCGCTGGAGTGTACCAAATATATATATCAGCACAACAAAATGCTTAGAAATACGTCTCAGAATAGCACAGTTCTATAACCTCACAAAAACGACCATAAACCTCTTCAACAACAACGAAGCGGACATTATCAGCCACATGAAGGGAGAACTCATTGCGGGGCTGTCGCTCTAGTTGAGCTCAGTGTTTTAATCCATCAATCCAGCGTACATTACAGCAGCTGACTCACATTTTCCAGCATCAGCATCCCTGCGAAGCTGACCTCTACTCCAGTCTTTAGACATATCCGCTGTCTCTTACGCAACAACCCAGTGTTGTTCAGGTTAAACTTTACCGAGACATAGGAGCGCTTTTCCATAAGCGCCTCAGATAAGACCATTGATCGAGAGTATCCCGCAAAATAGCATCAGATTAAATTCAAGTTGTTATACAGAGTGCCAATTAGTTACACAGGTAAACAAACGGCGTAATGTGACAGAGATGTATTAACTAATAAGGGGAAGCTGCTGCACTATAATCAGCAGCTATTTATAGTGCATTAATAACTTCCTCAAGGTCATTCTTAATTGTAGTTGTTTTCCATGCTTGCTATTACTTCGACTCGTTAAAAAAAAGTATGTCTTTGAAGGGGTGGGACAAATAAGAAAAACAAAGGCTTTTGTTTCAATCAGTTTACTACATGCAATATAAATAAAGATATTTATTACTCCACGATTCATCATCATTAGGTTTTAGGATATACGGTGGACTGCAACTAAGTAGCAATTACTTGAATCATTTGCAGCGTTGCAAACCAACTATATAAAATAGTCACGTATCTTCGTGCGCGTGGAGAGAAATGTTTCACGTGCGTGTTCATACGTTTGTAACACGTACTCGTGCATATGTTCCGCTGTATCCGTCCCGATGGCTGTGCAAAGGATTTGAAATCCCACAAACGGACTTACGAAATCAATAATTACACAAACAAATCCATTAACCAGGGAAGGCGAAGGCTGCGCCACAAAACACCAGAACGGTTCAGCACAGCTCGAGGTGACCCGGAGCGGGTCTCCCACTTGTCACTAGGCAAGCGCACCACCTCCCACCTACAGTGCAGGTCCATAGGACCAACGGAAGGGAAACCGGAGGACTTGTTCCGTTGTGTTTGTGTGGTTTGAAACCCCCTCAATGACATGAACATCATGAACATTTACACCGGACCGCCAAACCCCCCCCGTCCCGCCGCCCGTGTGTGTGTGTGTGTGTCTCTGCGGAGCAGCCGCGGATGTGATGGAACTGCCCCGCGGCTAGCAGCTAGCCGTTAGCTCCCGATGAACACAAACGAACCAACAAACCGCGAAGACAGCCGGCGCGCACCTCGACATCGGCCTCTAAACGGAGACGCGGCCGCGGCGGGTGTGCCCGCGGACTACACGGAAGCCATTGTTCACGGATAAAAGCAACAACGACAACAAAAAACAGACAACGCAGAGCGGAAGACGCGGCTAGCTTTAGCCGGCTAGCACTTAGCCGAGAAGATGCTGAGCGGACGGCGATATTAGCAGAGCGAGCTAATGGTCGCCCGTGGGGGGGAGGGGAGGGGAGGTGGGGGTGGGTACCTTACCGGGTCAAAGCTAACAGCGACGGGCAGCAAGATGCATCAACGTCTGGATCTTCTGCTGGAGGCGACGTCCGGAGAGATGGAACTTGGGAGAGATCACAGCAGACGGAGCAGAGATGTCGTCGGGAACATAGCAAAGGCACTCGAGATTAATGTGGTTCCTGCTTTTTTGTTGCTCGGACTGGCTCTGATGCCCGTTGGCAGGTCGTTGCTTAGCGAGTCTCTCTCTCTCTCTCGCTCTCGCTCGCTCTCTCTCGCACACACGCGCACACACCCTCAAGGGACGAACCTGCCAAATACAAGCCCCGCCTCTCTAACTCCGAACACAGCGGGAGACAGCTGGCAGATAGTGACCCCGCCTAGCGGACAGTCCGGGACAACTAATCTAACGAACACCGCCAGAGAAAAATGTCTTCTAATATGCGGGATTTTTAATATCACTTAATATGTCACAGATTATTTAGAGTGACTGTATCTTATCATTCAAGGAGCTTTGCACGATTATCTCTATTTTCTTTTACCTTTACTTCACTAGACCACAAACTTAAATGTTTTACCTTTTACTGTATCACTTATGTGCATTAAAACGTTTAACCATCACATGCATTATGTATTATTTGGGTTAAGATAAGAAACCATGGCAAGATTCACAATTTACGGGCAATACTGGAAAGAAACAATACATAAAAATACAATACAATCCAATAATATTTATTAAAGTACTCAACAGTCTTTTACCCACAAACATTTTATATATTTGTTGTATTTGTACATGGTATGTCAGTAAAACGTTGATCTTTATTCTTAGATTTTAATCTTATACATATAAGTCAAATTCCTCTATGTGTAACATATGCAGCAATAAATGGCTTCTGATTTGAAACAACCGACATATCTACTGACATGGCCTTTATAAAGCGCTCCCCAGGAAACCATATATTACTTATATATCTTTAACATATACTTATGTTATTTAGTAGTTTTCTGTATACACAAGTACAATTTGTGTCCAAACCCCAAAGCGCTGAAATATTCATATTACAGCAGACCGATCTCCGTGTTGTTCAGTCTTTTATTTCTTCCCTTTATTACCACACGGCCTGGTTTGAATCAGCGGGTCTGCACTGCCACCTGGTGAACAACTTGTCTCACCTCATCTTCGTCTTTGCACATCTGCTCAGCATCGTTTCTCCTCCGTTTCAGTTTCCATATTTAAATCATCAATCAGATGCCAACACGAGCTGCTCTATAGACACTTTATTGCCGTGTTTGTTGTTTTACACTCAAAGGAATGTTTAGCTGTGTGTTTGACGAGCCGTTCCCAACATTCACCCTCAAAATATTTGTTACCAAACCAAGATTTAAATAGCGAAAAAACAACGACTATAATGAAGTAATGCAATATACATAATGCTGTAGTCTTAAGATGAATGCGTTCTTACTAACACATGGGCTATACTGGTTCATTTACAAAAGGCTGCTTTATGTATGTTGATATTTAAGATATAAAACAATAGTAATACACATTCTTTAAAGGTAAAGATAACGTGGTGATGTTGCATATATGCAGATGTAGTTGTGGGTGAACTACATCTGTTTTGTTGCAAAACAAACACCCAACAGTCATTATTACCAAGTTCATCCACAGCATATCGAATAATTGTACAGTTATTGTTGAAGAGATGAACATGAGGAGAGATACGATCGTAAGAGCAGACTAACATCACCATAAATACCATAATATTCTCAGTTTTTGTTATTGTCAATGAAGGAAAAGAAAAACAGCAACAATGAATCCATCCAATAACGAGTATTTTACGTATCCAATGCCTGATATTTCTTTGAAAATGTCAGCAGTTACTCCTGAATGGTTTCATATGAATGTACGTCTTCAACGCGAACGGATGTTCCTCAGACCTAATTGATTCCCATGGGATATTTGTACACGTTAACAAAATCAAAGACTACCTCCAGCCTCATCCTTTCGTTATATGTAGCTCTATACGCTGGTCATGTGGGCAGTTTGTATGACGTATTGCTTCATTACACATTTATTTTAAGATGGATTTAGATTGTCTTTTTTCATGTAAAATACAGACAGTCTTGATTTCTTAGTTTATTTAAATTTAGAGTTTTTCAAATGAACTCCGAAGGTCAAAATCTACTCTAAATGAACTATTTGCATTCTTTAATATCTACTTAAACTACTCTGACTGTTAATGGGACAACACATGACTACCATGGACATAGTAATCACACACACACACACACACACACACACACACACTTCTCGCTCTGACTGAACAACAGTGACTTCTGTATTATACGTCACCGCACACTGAAAACCTAGAGTCTGATTTATTGAGGATCTTAATCATCATCGAAAGTCTTAACACCTGAAACACCCACACTGTATTTAACCTTTTGAGACAGGAAGCCTCGCCCGTCTCTTCACATTGACACGGTCTTGACTTTGAAAAGAGGCCTAAAAGCGAAAGAGAAGTTTCTTTAAGTAAGAACCGAACGAATCGAGTGTGTGAACACGGATGGCGGCCGCTCGTCCACTATTTGACTTTATTACTACGGTTGTAAAGACGGGAGTGGTGAGTGACTAACTATACATACACATATATATATATATATATATATCTATGTATATATAGCAACTAAAGACGCTCGACAGATCTCGGAAGAGGGCAACAAGTACAGGTTGATAGCAGAAAACATCTTGTACTTTGCAACAAAAACCAACAGTCCGGGTGGATTTGATGTCTTCTTTTCTTTCTCCTGCCTCACTTGATCCACGTGTGCGGAGGTTTCAGGCTTCATACACCCTGAGGAGGAAACAAAATGAGACTTAATCTCTTTTTGGGCTCTCCTTTAGTTCTTGTGTTCCACTTGTTGGCCTCGTGGTTATAAGTGAAGGACACTGAATCGCCCCTGAAACCCACGCGGCCCCTCTGCAAATGTTATTCTGTCCTCGTTTTCTGTGGCTGACCCCGACCTCTGACCTCACCACGAGAGGAGGCCTTCCAACAAAACCAGTCAATAAAGTTTCCCAGAGTAACGCCTGTGACAGCAGAGAGCGTCACGCGGATCTAATGGCATTGAGTGTGAACGTTAGCATGATGCTACCTGCCAACATTTAAGTTGTTGTTCTTCTTGTGAAGAACATAAATCCAATAGTTATTCTCCCTTTTGCTGTTTTTCGTCTCGATCAACCCCGGGAAGATACGTTGTACTCTTTAGAATCTAAAGCGGAGCATTTATCACCTGGAGTGTAGGTGATAAACGCTCACCAGCCAGCTGCTCAACAGAAAGAGAAAGCTGCACAACACACCGTCATTTCATCCGTCGGAAACAACGATAATTATTGTCGTCATAGTCACTAGTAACTGCATGCTGACAACAACACTAGAAGAATGTTTGTTCCACTAAGACGCTCAAGGACACTTGAAGTCTTCGGCTTCAGAAGTCTGAAATGTGTTCCCTTGTCACTGCGGCCTCAGCCTTCGAGGCGATGCATCGCTCCCCGAAACCGGAACGATTCAACAATTTGTTACCTGTGCTTATCCTTCCAAATGCGGAACCATTTGACCAGGTTCTTGGTGCTCTGCAGTTTGGGATGGAGACAATACTCCTGCCCTTTGAACCGAGCCACGTTCTCCATCGTCACACTGGGAGGGCGAGCAAAGAGGGAGAGACAGGAAATCCAACAACAATAATGTTAATATCAAATCATAAGAACTCATTCATAATCTTAACACAGTTCATTCAACACAAATAATTTGGTTCCAAAAAAGAGTTGTTGGGTTGCAAATACACTATTGTTACTGTAACTATTGACTTCTGTTATCCTTAACAGCTTGGTTGAGTTCTACGGGAGCCGAGTTAAGTCAATGTTGTTTGGTACGAATTACAATGGAGTGAAAACACTGATTGTGGGGTATTTAAAAGCGCCTGAAAGGCAGCTTGAGTGGTTTAAATTCACTTCAACAACGTCCATTTGGCACTGGAGTAATATCATGGAGCTGCCTCTCACTGAATCGAGCGCTCGCTCTCTAACCTCCGGCTCAAGGCAGCGGTACAGACAGCCTGCCTGCATGTGGCGCATTCAGGCCAAACAAGGGAGCGCTGGGAAAAAACACCCAGCATGCCATGGGGGCCTCTGCGTCCCTGACACGCTCAAAGGCTCGCCGAAGCATGAATGCTAAATGAGTTGACTGGGAGAGAAAAGACTCGGGTCTCAATAAAAAAGACGCTGCATTCAGTAGTTATAAAGATTTAGGTCAAAGAGGTTTGCATCTGCTTTCCTGCTCATTCAGTCGGCACTTTGTTTGGCCGCGGAGAGGCAGATGTCCGCGTTGTGTTACGGGAGAACTGAGCTGCTTTGAGAGCACATGACTCATGAGCGGAGCTTCATTGTCATCCGCCTGGCTGAAGGGCAGCAAAATGTTCTTCTTCACCGGTAACCTTAAGTGCGTTGGACGTGTCACCGTTTCCCATGACACAATGTGACTCCTAAATGAATTATTCTGCATACTTAACAGCCCTTTTGCAGATAATGCCGGTGTACTTTTACTTTGTCAACATCTCGAATGCACGACTTTAACTAGTTTTTATTGTGTGTTGTCATTACTTTTAGAGAAACCAGAGGCGGAGGGCACCAACAAGACAAATAGTGAGTGAGGAACGGAAAGAGGGTGCGAAGGGATATGAAAGAGATCGAGTAGGGAAAGAAGTCCTGAATTGAACAGAAAATGGGGAGAGAAAAGAGAAAAGGGGGAGAAGGAAAAGAAATAACGAGCCAACGGGGTCATTTTGTGGCTCTGAGCTTTTGTGTGCGCTTTAGAAGCGCTATCCCAGAATGCCAACGGGCCCCACAGAGGCCACAGGGGACTCTGCTCATTTCTCTCCGACCCTCCTGGTTTCTGTGGCTTTCCGGAGCCCGCTGAGCATCATTTTTCACTGGGCACCGGCTGCAGGTGGCCCCCAGCTCATGCTAATAGAGCAGGCTTAAACCAGGGCGCACACACACACAAACACACACACACACACACACACACACACACACACAAACACACAAACAGACCTGGGGCACAGAGCGGACCATTTCTAGCCCTTATTGTTTTTGGGGGGGGTTTGCATTCACTTTATTTAAGCTCATGTTAAGCACATACTCATAGTGCTTCTGTGTGTTTTGCATCCTAACAAAAGTTATTCTAACAAAATTCAACCACTTTGCTTTGATAGTTGCTTAATGGTAAACACCCTTGATATTCCCATTTCTATTGATTGCTGTAAACATTAATGCGCATCACTAACTTTGTTTAGCTTTTCTCAGGATCATGGTTCTATCTGGACCCTGTTTCTGCCTCCTGCCGTGGCCCTGCTGACACCTGCTACTGCTATCATCATCATTACAATTATTTTAAATACTGTCATCATAAACCAACATTACTCTTTGCTCAAGTCGTTGTGCTTTCCCTCCCCACAGGCTTCTGTGGATGGTGATTCTATCTGGTAGTGGTTCTATGTGATGGTGGTTCTATCTGATGATGGTTCATGTAATGGTGGCTCAATCTGGAGGTGGTTCTAGGTGATGGTGGTTCTATCTGATGGTGGTTCAATCTGATGGTGGTTCAATCTGGTGGTGGTTCTATCTGGTGGTGGTTCTATGTGATGGTGGTGCTATCTGGTGGTGGTTTTATGTGATGGTGGTTCTATCTGGTGGTGGTTCTATCTGATGGTGGTTCTATCTGGTGGTGGTTCTATGTGATGGTGGTTCAATCTGGTGGTGGTGTTATGTGATGGTGGTTCTATCTGATGGTGGTTCTATCTGATGGTGGTTCAATCTGGTGGTGGTTCTATCTGGTGGTGGTTCTATGTGATGGTGGTGCTATCTGGTGGTGGTTTTATGTGATGGTGGTTCTATCTGGTGGTGGTTCTATGTGATGGTGGTTCTATCTGGTGGTGGTTCTATGTGATGGTGGTTCTATCTGGTGGTGGTTCTATGTAATGGTTGTTCTATCTGATGGTGGTTCTATCTGGTCTTGGTTCTATCTGGTGGTGGTTCTATCTGGTGGTGGTTCTATCTGGTGGTGGTTCTATGTGATGGTGGTTCTATCTGGTCTTGGTTCTATGTAATGGTGGTTCTATCTGGTGGTGGTTCTATGTGATGGTGGTTCTATCTGGTGGTGGTTCTATGTGATGGTGGTTCTATCTGGTGGTGGTTCTATCTGGTGGTGGTTCTATCTGGTGGTGGTTCTATCTGGTCTTGGTTCTATGTAATGGTGGTTCTATGTGATGGTGGTTCTATCTGGTGGTATCAGATATGTTTAACCTGAATAAGATCAACTCCCTGGAGCCAAACGCAATGTCCACATGATGACTTTCTGTGTAAAATGTAAATCTGCCAGCAGGAGGCAGCACAGTTTGTGCCTTCAACACAAGGCGGCCTCCGTGGGGAGGGAAGGGGGGGGGCTGACATAACATCCCCCTCCGCCAGCCCTTCATGTCACATCAAACTTCAAATGAATTCCACACGGAACCCACAGCTCGTGTTTCTGGCTACGAATGAAACATGAAACCCGAGATCATAGTAAAAAAACAGATATGCTACACACTGCCAGCTGTATACCACGTTAGAGTTTTCCCTCCCGGCGCCCCGGGTTACTCTGCGTGGGTTTGGCCCCCTCCAGGAGGAGAGGCCTAGTTATCGTGCTGCATTCCAGAACCGTCAAACTGTAAGTGAAGCAAAGCAGAACTTTTTACGCAAAACGTCTCCGGCTCTCAATACTGTCTGGAAACCTTTGTTCTGGAAAGTTGTGTTTCTGTTCCGCCCACCTGTCCAAATAATAAAGAATTCCTTTGGGGGAGCAGCGGGGGCTTAAATCATCAGTTAGTCATCACACTGTAAATCCTCCAAAGAGCTTTAAGCAAAGTGGCAGGATGTTGTGATTATTCCTGTTTGGCTACCAAATATTTTTCTCTTCTCACAGCCGAGGAGTTTGTCTGCGTGTCAAAAAGGTACAAATACTATTTCATCATATTATGACGTGTAGCACAGGTAGAGAGAAGAGGTCGAAGGTCATTGAGGAAAGAAACAATCGAGACTAATGAAAGTCTGACTCACAATATCATCTTCTCGTGGCAGAAGGGGTGTTTGGGTTTGATCTCCAGCTTCTGCACGTCCTTGTATCGGATCTTCGGCCCTTTTCTGGTGCACCTGCACTTATAAGCTGTGGAGAGAATCGACACACAGGTGAGTCACACTGACTCCGTCACGCACGACAGCCACAGGCAGCGTTAACCTTTGGTGTAATCTAACTTCAGTGTGCAGGGGAGAAGTGCACTGCAGCATCATCGGACCTGTTCTGTGTCATCACAGCAGAACTCCGAGCTTGCCTCGCCAACTGTTTGCCTTGTAAAAAGTTCCGTCACATCACTTGAATAATGAAGGTCACGCGGAACTCTTTTCCCGCCCAACTTGAACTGTGTGCATCGACTCATGTAAATCCCCCCCCCCCCCCCGGGCCTCGGGAAGCCCCACGGACTGAAAACACCTCTGTGTTCATCTCTGTATCACCTCCTTTGTCTCCCTCCGATGTCTGCATTGATTTACTGTCGCGCAGCGATTTCCGAGCAGCTGCTTGATTGTGTTCAGCTCGGCCCTTTAAAAATATACGTTTGTATAAAATGTACACAATAAGGTGCAAGAATATTACCAAATTAATAATGGCTCAATGATACGAAACGCTTTCAATCTGCATTGTCGTTACCCTTAAAAATAAAGCAAGTATACTTTTGACGTACATTGTGTAATTGAAAAGGTGTGTAATATGATTTTGTATTTAATCCACACATCTCCTCCAGGTCCAGTCTCGCTTGACGTAGGAAATGAGTCTGCGTCGTATATTTGTGATGGAAGGTGATGACCTGGACGCCCCGAGGTCTCCTTCATCCATCATCATCATCATGTGTGTGTGTGTGTGTGCAGAGCAACGGGGGCTTATGGGCGTAAATGGCTTCAGTCTTCAGAAGACACGAAGGTCTTCTTCCAAAAGACACTCACCCACAACAAAACATTTCATCCAAAACAGAGGAGGAGATGGACGTGACTTGTGGAGTCATTTATTCCCCTGGTTTTTGCACCAAAGTGTCCTGTAGGACGTGTGGGAACATTTACACAACGTGTGCTTTGCCGTTTGGAGGAGAGAGTTATGCAAGTTGTTGTGGATCCGAACGTGCTCCTCGGAATCTGATTTACATGACAATGTCATTTCATCCCAGTATGATTGTGCCAGTTCCACACTTCGGAGAATAAAGGCTTATTATGAAATCCTATTTTCTCAGTACTAAATCCATGTTTTAGCACAGGGTGGCAACATCACGCTCTTCTTAATATATATAAATATATAAAACGTAGTTATTTTGAGAACAATTACGCAAACACACTTTTCACCCAGCTGTTTTCTCAATCTGTGCTGGAGATTCGTGTTGGCAACAACTTTAAGTGTGAGCATGCACGCATGAAGAAGCGACGCGCACGTCTCCAGCTGCTGTGTGTTTTCCCATCAACATGAGATCGAGTTCACGGGAACACAAAGAGGGAATAAGTGTACCTTCTGCGCGCAGGACGTACACGGCCACCAGCACCAGAAGCAGCACCGCGGCGCCCCGATGCATGTCTTCACAGCGGGGGGAACAAAAAGAGAGAGAGAGATGCTTTTTAAAAAACAAGCTCCAAAAATATATCCGAACTTTGGAAAACACGCGGGAGGGAGAAAGAAAAATGAACCAGTGGTTGGAGGTGCAGATCAAATCCACCAGAGCTGCAGAAGATGTGCTTCTCTGCGTTGGAGCCACGATGTGCGCCTCCGTCCGCGCGTCGACAGCTGCTTTGGATGAACCTCCAGTCTCCAAGCTCCTTAAGGTCTCTCTCTCCCCCCCGCTCTCTCTCTCCCTCCCTCCCTCCCTCTCATTCATATGCACGGCCAGACAGCGAATCAAACACTTGTGGCCTGCAAGAGAAAAGTCGAGAACATGGAAGGGGAGGGAGGGAGTGAAAAACAAAATAATGCACATTTTGTCCGCCAAAGACGATATTGTGGTGACGTCAGTCGGTGCTGTTTCGTGGACCTTGAGATTCTGTCCTTTTCTTTATGATGTTGCTTTTTAATGAACAGTCAACAGCTTCAGTGTCACTGTTCACCATTTCAGTAAATGTATTATTATTATTATTATTATGGATGGTAATCCATTCTTAGTACACAAAGGTGTAGATATGCATCTCAAATAACAGATTATGTGTGACGCACCTGTGGGTCACCACCCAGTCTTTGGTAATACTCCTTCTGTATCATATGAACAAGAACGCCATCAGGCTGAACCATTGGCCGGTATAAGACAGCCTTGAGAAGAAGTTCTGAAGTTCTGTGTATAGACACCAGTGCAAGCGTGCACATCTGTAAAAACGACCCAATTGTCCCTCCACATGTGCAGTCTGACAAGTGAGCAAATCAACTGTGAATCCCGCTGGAATTCAGCAGCTGGCTTGAAACAGCAACGAGACGTGTTTGAAGGACGTCTTCTAATGTCCACGACAGTAGGACATGACGGCGAAGTGAACACAGGCTGATAGAAGACGCCGGTGAGCTGTCTGTTCCAGTCTTCAGCTGAAGTGACTGATAATCAATGAGACACGTGTTGTCTCAATCCATTACATCGCTTCAGCTTCACCCAAGACAAAGGGAAACAGAGACGATGATTTGGGCCTAAAATAATCTGTGTTGCAATGTTAAATGAAATCATATCATTTGTAATTTTAGATGTAGCTCGTCAGGAGAAAGTTGGATTTTATTAATGCTGACTGAACTCGCTGAAATTAAACTCAAAAAAATAAAAGATCGTTGAACAACGACGTTGTAACGATAGGCCTTTTTTCTTCAAAGCTATACTTTCAATGTTAAATGTCCCGTCAGGACAGATTTGTTTGCACATTTACATTTTCTTGAACATCAGAAGGTCAACGTTTTCAACGTGTCCATTATGCTGGTTTAAATACCTTCAAAACCAAATACCAATACTAGCATCCTAATAGCGAGCATTACACGTGATAAACAGCAGCACGTTAGCATCGCTGTTGCTGTGCTGATGTTAGCATTTAGCATTTAGCTCAAAGCTCACTGTCTTGTTTTGAATTAAAATTTTCTTAATCTATAATATTAAACATTCAATTTGAATACAGCTTTTCCCCCGTTGGAATGGCACAGTTTTTCAAATTACTCCATCAGCGCCTCAAAGGACTTCATTCTGTTCAAAATGAACTTTGTGGAGGAAGCTGTGTCCTGTTTTTGTTTTCTAGAAAACAAAATATTTACAATTTAGTTGCAGATGAAAAAAAAAAAAAAAACTAATATCAAATCCTTTCTGCAGCCCGAGGCGTCAGTATCAACTATTCATACTCAGACACGTTGCAATATAAAATATTTTCCCTTGTTAAGGCAGCTGTTTTGGCCTCCCTAATCCCACCAACCTGAGCTCCAGTCGTCTCGGTCCGACCTGCACGGAGTGGAAAAAGTGTTTATGTTTGAGTCAAACGCGGCGGGCGCGCGACGTTTGTCGGGCTGTTTGCTTTGGAAGCACTCGTGTAGAAGTGAGAGGAGATCGACTGAGTCGAGCTGTGACAGATGTGAGTCTGAGAGACGCATAAATACAGACTGCAGTCTGCGAATACAACATGGTGGCAATTATATTAACTGTCTCCAAGCAACTGTCTTATGTTTGAATAATAAATGTGAATAACGTTAAAGCGTTGACCTGTATGACCCCATGTAAGAACAGCACATGCTTCCTTTTTTTGGGACACAAAACCATCCACAAGGTTTTGTTGGATTGTTATAAATGTGAAAACTGTGTTCTGAGAGATGAGACGTCTTAAAAGTATAACATGGAAAACCCTCATCTTTGCTTTGAAAGATAAACGGCGGTGAATAGAGTCTGATTTACTCGAGTTGAGTAGAAAGATGTCATTACTGTCCACTGTGGAACTGACTCAGGTCGGGTTATTGCAGCTGATCCTCACGTCCGAGGGAAGTTTGAGGGCTTGAGATTAGAGGACGGTAGCAACCAAAGACCGCTCACAAGTTAACTTGAGTAAATCCATCTTCAAACCGCTTATCCTGCACACATCACAGGGGGCTGGAATCAATCCAAGCCAACTTCGGGCGAGATGGTCGCCAGCCAAGTGCAGGGCTGCCACAGAGACAAACAACCATTCGCACACCTACAGGCAAGTTAAAGTCCCCAATCAACCTGATGCCCAGAGCACGTCTTTGGACTGGGGGAGGAAAGCGGAGAACCCGCGCAGACACGGGGAGAACCTGCAGACTCCACACATGTGCAAGCAGACAGGTCAGCTGACAGTAGGCCAGTAATTGCTGTATATGCTAATGCTAATGCTAACGTGGGGACACTGCATTCAGGTGTGCAGATGCTGAGTCGTAATGACTAAATGCAAAAGATGGGAGTAAAGGTGTAGCTGCTGTCTAAGTCATGTTCACGTGCGTTGTTTCCACCAGGTTGAAGCCGTGAGGCAGGAGGGGTTGAGTTGTGCGTGCAAATAGTTTACCTGTAACCCAGTTTGTGTTTTATTGCTTTCTAACTACGCTATTTCTACAGAGTCTGATTGCAAATCTATTGTTATTTTCCACTTGTTCCTGACACTTTTTAACCCTTTGGCTGAACTTTTCCTGTCTACGGTGCAATCACTTGCATTTTGCACTCATGTTATGAGCAGTTGTGCAAGGACCCTGAAGCGAGCTAAAAGGATCGTGGCCCCCTCCCATCCGGCAGGAGGCCGAGACGTCCCGCCACACCAACAGTTTCTTCCCGTCGGCGGTCGGGCTCATCAACACTCCCTTCACACTCACATACACACAAACTTTATGTACACGTAAATTCCTTATATGTCTGACATATTTTGGCAATAAATGTTCCTCATTCCTAAATATGAGGGTGGCCGGTTAGCTTAGCTTAGCATGAAGGCTGAAAACAGTTCACAGCAGCTGTAGAAATGCACCTCTGAATCTCTCTAGGAAACCAGTTTGACCGTGTTTGTGAGATAATAAGGAATTTACTGCCTGTACAGACAAAGACACTTTCACACCCTAATGCTCCACGCCGGTGGGTGTGTCGACGCCTGAAACGCTCGCTGGTGTCAGGTGAGGTCAACAGGAAGAACGAACCAAACCATCAGCACCCGTTCACTCCATGACATCGATCCTGGCTCGTGATGATGTCATGCCATTCATTTCAAAAACATACTACTGTCATACTGTAAAAAGGGACCCAAGAGCAAAGTGTCTTACCAGGAATAATCACCGTTACTCAAGATGATCTACATATCTGCACTCCGTCAGTCTGCATTTAGGTACCCAGTAATGTGTCACACACACACACACACACACACACACACACACACACACACACACACACACACACACACACACACACACACACACTGATTTGGTGGTACTATTCCAGTCAGTACCAAACACGTCATATTTCATCTCTTGGCTGTCTGCTGACTCTGCTCAGCCTTGATGGGTTTTCAAGTTTCTGTCAGGACTCATAAAACTTCCAGCGGGACTTAAATAAAAAACATAAATAAATCAAAGAAACCAGTCTTTTACCCTTGATACAATCAAAACAGACAAGTGATGCATCCCGGCCTCAGAGTGACATTTCGTCTCCTCAGCGCAGCTCGTAAAGGCTGAACGATGCTGAATCTTTAGCCCCGATGAGACCTGATTGCAGGATCTGCTTTCAGTCCAGCACGTCACACTGGTCCAAAGGACTAAACCATCTGAATGACGGTAGAAGAAAACAAATCCGAACGTGTTCCATCCTCACAATGACTCGTGAAAGCAGAGCTCCGTTTGTGGTTTTCTAACTCCTCATCGGAGGCAGCGGTGACCGGAGTTGGAGACAGTGTGGTTCAGAACATGACACGGAACACGGGGTGAAAGTTCTTTCAGGGTATTTAAGTGTCAATGCTGCTACCGTTTTGCTGCAGATGGATGAAAGGTTCCTGTCACATCTGCTCGCGCGTTTGTTTTTCGTTTCTTCACGTGAACCGGATTCACCGGAACTGTCTAACAGGCCTGAAGATGTGCATCTGTCACTAATGTTTACTTCATAACACTCCTTGGTCTTCTGCTTTGTTCTCACTCAACGCTCTGGTTGCAAAAGCTGACGGCTGCAATGTGCTGACGTTTTTAATGCCGAGCGCGGCTCAATCTTCCCACGATGCAACTTGATAGTGCGTCTTGCTCTGCGTGCGAAAGCAGCTGAGAAGCTGCGTGTCCGCGGAGGAGCTTTGTGGAGCTTGAGGAAACAAACCCTGAAGACACTGTCATTGTGACTTACGAGACTCCAGGTTTTTAATGTGAAGCGGTGACCTGCCGGGGGGGCAGAACGGCTCTCGAGGAAAAACAAGTTCACACAAACACAACCAACGCACTGATACGGTGTGCAATGAGAATGTGATCGCAGGCAAAGTGGCCCTCCTGAGGTTTGACTCACACTCAGCTGTGCGCGCAGCTGCAGCTGAAACAACTCGTCCTGTGTTTCCTGTTGCTTCTTTCTTGCCGGTGAAGAATACGTCACGCCGCTGTGTTTCCTTTGCTTGTGCTGACGGCGACGCCTCACTGTGCTGCTGGCAGCTGATAATGCTAAATGCTAAAATGCCTCATGACGCTGCGGTGCTCAAGGAGTGGCCGTGAGAAATCAATGAAAATAAAGTACAGCAGTATGTATAAACAACTTTGAGACTACTCCTCTTTTTTATTGTCTAATAGAAAATATCAAACCTAGAAAAATGTCCTTGGGTGCTCTCAGTA